ACTTGTCACTATGTAATCACATGTGTTCTGTCAACTGTGGAGTTCCTGGCTTCAGCCAGGCGACTGCAGGTTTCAATGAGTAATGGTTTGTTGAACATATTTTCCTTAGGATTGTTTTTTGTATTCTCTTAACCATGAAGTAAAAATGAAACAATTGAATATTGTGCAAAAGCTTGTGATGATTTGTGTATAAATAAAAAAGGCAACTTTTCTGAGTTGTCCATTATGAGCATCATGTCATAGTGGTCCGTGTCTTATCTCTTCTTCCTATCATCTCCTCGATCCGTGCATCTTCTGCAAGCTCTCAGTCAACCGGAGCTGGTCTCCGGTAGAGCAGTGGCAATCAGAAAGGGGAAGTGGATGGCCTCCCCGGGTCAAGACAAAGAACCCATCCATGCACACAAGAGCAGCAGCTGGGGGTGGACTGGACTGGACCAGGCTAGGTCACAGAGACCACATGTGCTAGGGAGAGCTGTGTTTAGAGGCAGGTCTGGAAGTTCTTTGGGGGTCATCCTGTCAATGTATACGAGCCAGGCTTGGGAGTGGGTTGGGCTGGGCTAGGTTGCAGCATTGGCTGGTTCATGTGAGAGCCAGGACTGGGGGTAGAACTGATCAAGCAGCAGTACTCAAGGTACATGTGTTGGCTGGCACAGGGGGCAGACTGAGCCCAATCCTGCATCAGCTGGTGCACCAGAAAGCAAGGTCTGAGGTGAGGTGTCTTAGGGGGCTCCCTAACTAGATTGTGCTCAATACATGACCTCAGGGTTAAATCACATAGACCTGCTGCAGCACTGGGCCACCTCAAATGCTGACTTTGTACAAGAATGGAAAACACACAGCCAGCTCATCTAAGCAATGAAAAGACTTCAAGTACCTCATCAAAAGATGGGGAGGATAGTTGAAAAATACTCCAGGCCAAGCTCTAGTACAGGCACCTAGTACAAGGCACACTGAGTAGACAGGGACAGCCAAATGGCTTTAGAAAGAATTTTTCACCTCTGGTGAAACGAAGCTGATGACTTGTCAGGAATAACCAAGACCACTCAATTAATACCCTCAGAACACTCTTCCCCACACTGGGGCCTCAAAAACAACATCCAAGGACAGTCTCTGTCCCCAAGCATGAATGTAGTGTGACAGCATTGAGCAGTGTACTTTTTCCTCCCTTCCCCCCTGTACCCGACCCTCTCCATGCTAATTAGAGGCTATTTGAGTCTGCTACCTTCTCATTTTCATAATAAATATTAGTAAATTAATAAGTTAGTAAATTTTCAAATACAAGTTTTTAAATTAAAAAAAAACTATTTGAAAGAGAAGGAAAGAGAGTGACCGAAACAGGTAGCGTCATCTGCTGGCTTACTCTCCAAATGCCTGCAGTGCCTGGACTAAACAGACTGAAGTCAAGAGCCAGGAAATCAACACAGGGTTCTCACATAGGTAGCAAAAACCCACTTCCTTGGTTATCTTCTATGCTCTACCAGGAGCTGCATTGGCAGGAAGCTGGAATAAGGTATAATGGGTGGAAATTGAATTCAGATACTTCCATGCAGGGCCCAGGTGTTTTAAACCGTGTTATAACAGGTACAACAAACACCACCCCTTATTTTCAACCAGCTATTGGTTTACTACCCAAATTCCCACAATAACCAGGATTGGGTCAGGCTTAATCCAGGAATATTACATAGGTGGCAGGAACCCAACCAATGAGTTATCACCTGTTTTCTCCTATGGTGCACATTAGCAGCAAGTAAGTTAGAAGTGGAGCTGGAACTTGGACAAGGCACTCCAACACCAAACAAGGGCAACCTAATCAACTTTTTACCTACCAGGCCTTAAGGCTGTCTTATATTTTTACAACTTTCCAAACAAAATAGTTGGCACTACAGTCAAAGAAAACCAGGCAGAAATGGAACCATAAGCATTATGCAAGAAAAAATGAATATTAAATAGAAATAAGCATATAGAAGTTCTAGATGTTGGAATTTTCAGAAAAGAACTTTATAGTAACCACCTTTAACTATTTTAGGGTTTAAAAACCTCTATTTAAAATTTTGGTAGAGTTTCCCTTGCTGTACAGAAGCTTCTTAGTTTGATGAGGTCCCATTTGTTTATTCTGTTCTCAACTGCTATTGCTTTTGGTGTCCTTCTTAGAAAGTCGGTACCTACTCCTAGGTCTTGCAGGGTATTTCCTACATTTTCTTGCAAGAGTTTGAAGGTTTCTGGATGTAGGTTTAGGTCTTTTATCCATGTAGATTGGATCTTAGTGTATGGTGATAGATGTGGGTCTATCTTTTTGTTTCTACAGGCTATCAGCCAGTTGTCCCAACAACATTTACTAAAGAGTCCTTCCCACTTGCTTAAGCTGTCATTGGTCTTTTTGTCAAAGATTAATTGGCTGTATCTGTGTGGATTCCCTTTTGGTGCTTCTATTCTATTCCATTGATCTTCCTTTCTGTCTTTGTGCCAGTACCAGGCTGTTTTGATAACCACTGCTCTATAGTATGTCCAGAGGTCCGGGACAGAGTGGGAGAAGATCTTTGCACACGATATAGGCGATAGGGGGCTAATTTCCAGGATATACAAAGAACTTCAAAACAACCAAAAAACCAAAACAAACAAGCCACTCAAGAAATGGGCATGGGAAATGGGCAAACATTTCACAAAGGAACAAGTCCAAATGGCAAACAAACATATGAAAAAATGTTCCAGCTCCCTAGCAATAAGGGAAATCCAAATTAAAACATCGATGAGGTACCACCTAACACCAGTAAGATTGGCCCACATAAACAAGAACACCAACGACGCTTGCTGGCGAGGATGCGGGGAAAAGGGAACCCTACTCCACTGCTGGTGGAGCTGCAAATTGGTACAGCCTTTATGGAAATCAGTCTGGAGAACACTCAAACAACTCAAAATCTGCATACCATATGACCCAGCAATAGCACTCCTAGGAATATATCCAAAACACCTGTTTTACGACAAACCAACATGCATCCCTATGTTCATTGCAGCACAATCAGTAATTGCGAAAACATGGAAGCAACCGAAATGCCCATCAGCAGAAGATTGGATAGGAAAGCTTTGGTTCATCTACTCCATGGAATACTACTCAGCTATTAAAAAAAACAAAATGCAGTTCTTTGTGGCTAAATGGGCACAACTGGAAACTATAATGCCAAGGGAAATGAGCGAATCCCAAAAGATTAGATACCACATGTTTGCCTTGATTTAACCTGTAATTTTTTGTTTGGTTGTTTGTTATTTTTTGAACCTGTCATTGATACTGTCTCAACCCAGATGTTTCGAAGAATGGAACTTGCATTATTTTTAACATATTGTTTACCCAATACTATGTCAATTAATTCCATAATGTTGTATAATGATACTGAGGCTTTGTTGGGGCTTTTAACTGACTGGAACTTTACTCTGTTAGACCTATCTTCAGACCATAGAAGGTCTCCCCAAGAGGCCACTGAACTTATCTGGACAATAAGACGCTGAACTTTATGCTAGGCATGTGTTTGCAAGCAATGAATCTCAACTGAACTTGAACTATGGTTATGCAACAAGGTGGAGGAATCCACCATGGGGGGAGGGGTATGGGAGGGGTGGGGGGGATCCCCAGCGCCTATAAAACTGTACTACATAATATAATGTAAGCAACAATAAAAAAAAAAAAAAAGATGAGACTTTAAGATGACAATAAAAAAAAAAAATTTTGGTAGAGAATTAAAAACCAGAAATAACATAAGAAATATGAAAAGAAATTGAAATCTAAGAGATGGAAAATGTTTCAAAGGGGTAAAATCAGAGTATACTTTCTGGCAATGAATTTATGCTAGAAATTACAACCCTCTCCACTCCAAAAAATAAGCTGTATCAGAAAATTAATAGCTATAGCACTAAATGAAATAAATACAAAGGAAAGGAAGAAGTGAATATAATTAATCTCAGAATAATGATTCATTTTAGGTAGGAGGCAAGAAGTTACAACTGGGAAGGGGAATTAGGTTGATATTATTCTCTTTTTTTACCCTAGTGGTACTTCTCAAGTATTTATTTTACAATAAATCATTAAGATGCACAGTTCTGTTTCACTCTTCTATAAGGTTTAACTTTTCTAGAGCTTTTTACTTTTCTACAACTTTATCATAATTCATAATAAGAAATTTAAATTTTTGAGATCAGTATCCCTAAATGAGAGAATAATATAAATTAAAATAATGCTCATCCTTGAATTTCAGTAATTTTCTTAACCTTGTCTTACTTGCTCTAACAGGCCTACAACTTCCTCTTGGTGGAGACTATCTTTCAGAGATTAATATCTTACTGTCTACTAGCTTCAAAATTCCACTAACACACTATACTAGAATCAACAGCTATGATTACATTTTGTAGTAGGACATTTATTCTCAAGTGTTCTGCATTTCCTAACATGGAACACTGCAAATGCAAAACTCAAACCTGGGTGATAACACATACAGATTAACCATCAGTTTATATAACTGCAAGATGTGCAATAAAACAAATGAAACAGGTACAAATTGCATCTGAGACAGAATAAACATCACCTAAAGCAGTTTTTCTGGGAACTTTCACATCTGTTTCCTATCACTGATTATTTTAATCTATTTTCTTCAGTTTTTCTGTCTATCCAACTCTACTCCAAAACCCAAACATTGTCTAGAGAAAGCTTTTACAGTTTAAGGAAATTTGACTTAATGATCTAAAATACAAATGATATTAAGTCAAGGCATCTGATTTTTTTCTTCTCTACCACAAAAGAACAGTTAAGTGACAAAGTTAAACTTCTGATAGCAATCACTAAGTCTACACTTACTATCACTCTTACTCACCTTTCTAAAAACCTTTTAACATCCCTTCTAAGTTGAGTAAGAAGCATCAAAATATAAAATAATTCTGACAAACTTTGGTCTACACATTGTCATCAGTCTCATAAGCTTAAATAGAAGTAATATTTTCATCAAAAAATTTCTCACTTTTGGAACATGAGGATTAAATTCCACAGCTCTATGAATTGCTTCCACAGCATTAATCTCTGCTGAGCTTAACCCTCTTCTAGAAGCTGTTTCTGCTGAGAATCTGTAAGAAAACCAGAAGACGAAAAAATAAGTATACAAGGAATAACAATAACAAATAAAGGAGAAAAAAAAAAGAAAAGAGAAAGAGATAGAAAAGAAAAGCTAAAGGAAAGGATTTAGATCATAACATTCCTCACTGAAACAAAGAGGTTTTTGGCAAGACAAGGCCAGATAACTACTAATTAAACTTCTAGTTCAACATACAAATGAAAACAGAATAAAGAACAGAAATCTTCAAACTAGAGTAAAGAAATCAAGCAAATGTCCAACGAAGGCACTCTTTGTGAAAATAAAGTAAGATATGTTACATTGGGATATTCAATGAATTTCATGAAACAATTATATTTTATCTGCTCTGCATATTTCATTCAAATTCATATCAAAGCATAGTTACCTAAGGCAGAAGAAAATGGTCAGCAGCTAGCTAGCTAGCGTCTGAATATCTTAATATGCAGAATAAGGAGAGTTAAGGACAGCCAAAAATACAAGGAAAGGGACATAACTCCACTATAAGAACAGATAACATAAAACTTTCCTACCACATGCCTTACCATTATCATCACGACTGCTATTTACTGTGTGTATTTTTTAGCAGTGCTCTAGGCAGTTACAAACCTAATCCTCACAGTCACCTTACACTGCTATCACTTTACAGTACAGATGAGGAAGAGTCTCAAAATGCCTGAAGTCCTACAGCTGGTGTATGGCAGAGTCTGAATTCAAGTCCTAGTTTACTTAGCTCTAAAAAGCCTCACCTGTAATAAGGAGCCCCAAAGCTGCTGACGATCAAGGCAAGGTAAAAGAGCACTGATAAAATCCTTAGAGGAAAACACAACCTTCTAAATTATTATAGCGAGCACAGCTACTTACTTCTCTGAAACAGTCCTTGTCTTCAACAAAGCTGCTGTATAACAGATTGCTGCTGACTTTGGAAGGCTTATATCTGTAACAATAGTTTTCAACTTAGGTAAGAATTTTTAGAACGATCAAATAGTGTTTAATAAGAACAATTCACAGCAAAAATTCAACAAATGTAACAGTAGAAGCATCTGGACATGTACTTGGAAGATACAAGTTTGAGTCCTGATTCTTTTATTTACTAGCTATACATCCTTGAGCTAGTAGCAACGGCTTTGATCACAAGTTTTTCTTCTCAAAACAAAGAATGAAACTTTTAAAAACTGCATCTTTTTACCTATTTGAAAGAGAGGAAGAGACATAAAGACACACAAAGATCTTTCATTGCCTATTTACTCCCCCAAATGCTGAGACTCAATTTGCTATCCCATACGGGAGATTGGAACACAAGTGCCTGAAACATTACCTGTGCCTCTCAATGTGCACATTAGCAGAAAACTGGAGTGGGAAGCAGAGCTGGGACTTGAACTTAGGCACTTCAATGTGGAATGTAGGCATTCCTAGTGACCACTACACCAAAACCTACCTTAAGAATGCCATTTTTCTGGCAGGGATTAAATCAAGTCTATGAAAGCCCTCTGTACAACGGTGAAAAGTGCTCAACAAATGTTTATAATACTCCACCTACAAGAATATTCAGTGGCAAAGGCACAGAACATCGGGAACTATATTAAAAGCTCCACCAGCTTAGAGAAAAAAGAAACAATTAGAAAAAAAAATAGTACTTGAAGTTCATACAAAGATGATTTTTTTTAACTTTTTATATTTTCCACATATTTTTAACATTCATTGTACATGTTTGTGGGTTACAATGTGCTATTTCTGTTTATTGGATAGTACATAAACACAATGTATGTTCAGCAAAATAGTATAATCAACATTTCCCCTCGATTGACATTACTATATGATTGTAGGATTGAAGCTTCTGCTTGCTCATACAATATCTACTAAATTATTGTGACTACGTTATAGTCTCCTCACTATGCTGTACGACACTTGGAACTTCATTATCTTTTGGTCAAACTCTGATTCAGCACCTGCTACTCCCAATCCCAGGACCACCCCTCCCAGCTTCTAATAATCACCATTCTGAATTCAGATGTTTTTAGCTTCCATATGGATTTGTCTATAGCATATGAGAGTTCTATTTCTAGTTTTTAAAGAAAACCATACAAATACAAGTCACTGGTGAATGACTGGGCTTGAAGACTTGTGCCGTTGCGGGCAGCGGGGGACTATGAACTGCTCAAGAAAAGGGGGAATGCTGATGTGTGGGAGGGAGGATCACTGAGGGAGAACAGTACAGGTGAGGAACGGTTTCTGGGGATTTCTACCAACTAGGCTACCGTACTTGCAGGTAAATGAGTGGGCTGAGACAAGGTGATTTGGAGGGAAACTAGAGGATCTTTCTGGGACAAACCAATACACCTGCCCATGTAAGAGACCTGAGCTGGACTTGGTATTGACCACCTCCCATGGGTGTACACAAAAGCTAGGGTTGGAGGGCCGATCTGTCAGGACTTAACCACAGTACCTGCCAGTGAGCATCCGAACAGGGGATGGGTCATGTTAAGCTGGGCCATGACACTAACCAGCACAAGAGAGAATCAGGTCTAGGGGCACATTTTATGAGGATCATGTGGGCTCATCCCTGTAGGATTTCAATTTCTGGTGGTTTGTTCAAGAGCTGCAGATGGTGATGGGCCAACCTAGGCATGACCACAGAACTGACACTCATGGGAACTAGGATTGGAAATAGGACAAGCTGGTTCTGGCTGTAGCACCTGCAGGTATACCCAAGAATTGGGTTGAGGTTGGAGGGTAGTAACAACCACCAGCACACACAAGGGCTGAGACTGGGGGAGCAGATTGTCAGGGTCTAGCATCTGCTGGCACATTTGAGATATGGGACTGGGAGTAGACTGGTGTGAGAATTTTGGGAACTTTCAGAGCTGGATGTTGGTCAGGCTAGACAAGGATGCGTTACTTAGCAGGTGTGGGGGCAGCCTCAGGGTGGTAGACCGGGCAGGGTCTGGCAAGCTCAAGAGCCAGATTGGGGTGCAAGCCATGCTCAGACTAGGTTGTCACACCTACCAATTTGCATGAAAGCCAGGGATGGGCAGGGATAAACTATAGCATCTATCAGTGAGAGTTGGGACTGGGGACTGGCTAGATCAAGCCAGGCTGCAGCATCCAATGACAAAGATCAAGATGAGGAATGGGCTATATTGATCTGGATCAGAGCAACCATCAGCATGCGAAAGATCTGTGGCTGGAAGCAGGCCTGGTAGGGGAGCTAAAACGATGCCCATGCTGGGCTATTGTTCTCACTGGTAAGTGTGAGAATAAAAATGGGGGGGGGGGGGACAAATTGGGCTGCACATGACTGCAGAATCCCTTGGCATGGGTGTGGACTGTACCTGGGGTGTGCCAGACTGGGCTAGGCTCCAGCACCTGCTAGTGCTCAAAAGAGCCAGAGTGTATGGAAAATAGGCTGGGCTAAGTCTCGGCACCTGCTGAAGCACATGAAACCTGGTTCTTGGATGAAACAGGCAGATGGCACCCACAGGGAAGAGCCGGAATGGGGTGGGCTTGTAGGGCAGGCTGCTATACCTGCAGTTAATGTTGGGACAGAGTTGGGCAAAGTCAAGCTGGGCTAAGCATCCATGGTATATGTGATATCTGCAATGGATGGGAGATGTCAGGATGCAGTCCTATTAGTGAGTACAAGAATGGAGTCTGGGGGCAGTACAGATTAAGCCACACTACATATCTACTAGCATACATATGGGTTAGGTCTGGGGGCAGGCCAGTTTGGGACAGTTCATAGCACCCACAGGCAGATGTGAGAACCAGGAATGGGTGCAGGCCAGGCCAGGTTGGGCTACAACACCAGCCAATTCACATTAAGGCTGGGACCAGGGGCTGGCTGGACTGTGCTAAGATATAGAACCCACCAACATTAACTGAAACAGGGGGCATGCCAGGCTGAACCAGGTTGCAGTACCCATTGGTGAATGCCGAGGTGAGGCAGGGCATGCCGGACTGGGTCGCAGCACTCAACAGCACACCTGAGACCCTGGGGTAGGGGGTGAGCCCAGTAGAAGGATTGCAGGGACTCCCCTGCTGAGTCACTGCTCCCGCTGGTGACAGTGAGAGCTGTGACTTGGGGTGGAATAGGCTGGACAGGACTACAAAACCAAATGGCTTTCATCTGTGTTGGCCTGGGGGAGAGCCAGGTTGGACTAAGCGATAATAACCACTGGTGCATGCATGAGCCACAGTAAGTACAGGCTGGTTGGGCTCTGTTGCAGCATCATCTGGCAAGTGCTGAGACTGGTGGCAAGTCCTGTCAGGCTAGACTGCAGAACTACCTGGAAAGTACAAGATCCAGGGCTGGGAATGGGCCTAGTAGGGAAACTGTGGGTATCTCTCTGATGGGTTACAGCTTCCACTGATGAGCATGAGAAATCAGGGCTGGGAGTGGGCCTGTTTGCAGTAGCACCCACTGGCAAGAGAGTGGGGTTGGTTGGGCTGAGTTGGACTCCAACACCTACTGAGGTGTACAAGAGCTCAATGGGATGCAGGACAGACTGGAGCAGTGTACTGTACATATAAGCATATGTAGGAGCTAAGGCGTGGGGCAAGCCTGATGGAGGTTATTGGGGTTGTTCTGACTAAGCTGAGTTTCCGCAGTGCATAAGTTGTGAGTGAGGGCCTAATGTGTACTGGGCAGGGTTGGACTGGGCCACAGCAACTGTTGTTTTGCATGAGATGGAACTGGGGACTGGGTAACTGCAACTGTGGATGACAGACTTAGCTGGACCACACATCTGCTGACACACAGGAGTCAGGTCTGGAGTCGCCTTAGTTGAGGTTTCTTTAGGGACCTCCCAAACTGGATTGCTGGACTGAAAAGTGTAGCCAGGGGAAAAACCACAGATCTGTGGTCTGAGCATGGAGTGCATATGTCAGAACTAGGTCTCCTTGATTGTTGAACCCTTTGCAGTAGATGGCATACACAGGTGCATATGGGGGACATGACAGACCACTGTGATCTGCAGAGGATGTCTAGTACCATGGCAGAGGATGGAGAACAGAACAAATTGGACAACTATCCCAGCCATGCATGACAGCAAGTATTGGGGTGAATGGAGACAATAAGATGAACTATATTAGCCAATGGACCTTGGAAAGATTTCCTTATCTTTGGAGCAACAATTTCACCACCATCTCAGAACTATCAAAACCACCTAAGCAGTACCCTCGGAACATGCTCCACATCATGGATGCTGGGATGACATCAAGTGGCTATCCCACATACCCAGGTACTAATGCGGTTAGGTTACCAGGAACAGCCCTCTCCCCTTCCTCTTTTACCCTAGATACAGGAAAAAAAAATGAAAGCAATTGTCTCATCCACTTCCCCTATTCTTCCTTGATGCATCACCCCAACCTGATGAGTGTGCACCCTTCTCAACTATGTAAACATCATGAAAAAGAAATTACAATTTTTTTTTAAAAAAAGAAATCACCATACTGCTTTCCATAATGGTTATGCTTATTTACATTCCACATAGGAGTTTCCCTTTCTCCAAATCTTGAGCAGTATTTGCTACTTTCTTCTTGGTAACAGCCAATGTTTAAAGGTTTGTTTGTTTATTTGAACGGCAGAGTTACAGAAAGAGAGGGAGGGACACATAGAGGAAAGAAGGAAGGAAAAGGTGGGATTTGGGGGAGAGAGAGAAAGATCTTCCATCTGCTCGTTTATTCTTCAAATGGCTGCAATGTCCGGGGCTGGTCCAGACCAAAGCAGAAGCCCTAAACTCTGCAGGTCTCCCAAATGAGCACCAGGAGTCCACACACAGGGAGCTGAATGGAATCCGAGCAGCAGCAGATGGAAGTCAGAATCAGCACTACACCATGGGATACCAGCATCAAAAGCAGCAGCTTGAACCACTGGCTACAATGCTGGACCCTGTCAGTAGCCATTCTAACAAAGGTGAAGTGATACCTATGTTTTCTTTATTTTCTAAATAACTATATAGATGCAATCTTAAACAATGCCCAAAATAGTGAATAAAACAGCAAGACTGAAGAACTCTAGATGCTGTTGATTCTAGTTATACAAACAAAATGGAGAACTAAGCAAGTTGCTTTTAACTTTTCAATGGTAAAACTTGGAACTTAATGAAAACAAATAAAAATCCAGAAGCATATCCACTTAGACATGCTTTATTAACTTTATTTTTAACAAAACAGGTCATATTCCAAACTTTCATAATCTTGCTCATCCTAAGTATCACAAGTAGGACGCCAGCCTAGTAAGTTACATTCAGAAAGAATTTCTCACAAATATCTCCATGAGCTTCCACTATTCCACAGCACTTCCTAAGAATTCCAGATGGTTGAAAGAAATAAACTTCCTTTTCCAAATATAAAACATTTCTAACTCTCCAGAAGATGGGATTCTTAAGCTCGTGTGTAGGAAACTATAACAGGAAAAACATGAATAAATTACTTATAGGTGTTCTGTTATAATGAAAGATATGACCTTCTAAAATATTGTTTATCAGGAACTCTCCAGCTTGGGGACTAAAAGCTGATGCCTCATTCAGAATAAGGAGAAAGTTTCTGCATCTTTTAAAATTCTCTCATTTCTATTTGTGGCAAACTGGCACTGTTACAGCATATAATCAAAATAGCCAATATATATTGTATTGCTAATTGTGGGAAAACTAATTAACAAAGAAATGATTTAAGTTTAGGCTTGCCATTTATTGATCAACTTTTCCCAGTACTTCATTTTCAAAAATTCCACTTTCCTAATTTAGTAATAAGAAGAGAAAAATAACTATCCTATCTTATTATACAGATCAGATCAGATAGTAAAGCTTTGTACTAAAAAGTATTGTAAAAATGCCATTTTGAATTACTTTTATAGGAAAATTCTCTTAGCCTTCCTTGACACTCCAGAATAAACCAGGCATCCTCCTACACGCACAGCGCCCATTGTTTTCTAATCATCTAAACAGACTCTCTTCAGTCTAACTGCTGCTTATACTTTCCACTAAACTACAAATTCTGTGAGGTCTCTACCCCTGTCCTCTGTGACTACTATACTCCAAAGCCTCACTCATACTAGCCACTTAATAAATACACAAATTAAGTATCGACAGAAGCAGGCACTTGATTTTGAAAGTTTTTGATAAACTAGATGTTTTATAGCAACTTACATCTATGTACACTAAATATCAGTTGACAAGACTTGACAGAAAAAAATATATATGGTATAAAAGGAGCATATGTAGGATTATGTAACTAAAACAATACTTGAATCATGCTATCAATTCCAACAAATACGACTTACCATCATACTTTGCTAGGACTGCCTGAACATCTGCATAGGCCTGTAATTCTAAAAGTGATTCTAAGAGATTTTCATGGATGTTCAACATGGTAAGAAGAGGAAATTCTTTCATCAACTGTATATTAAAGGGAAAAAATGATTAAAATTGTAACAAAACTCAATAGAGCTGAACCAGTTTTACTAAAGCAGAAATTTATTTGTTCTATATAAAACTATGAAGACCAAACTCTTAAGAAATGTAAATACGTTAAGGAATTATTTTGTTATAATATCTACCAAATTTTTTTAAAGTGATTTGTCATTAAAAATAATTGGCAACTTGAATTACATTTTTAGTTTTTCTGAGGAATAAATACAATTAATTCGGTCATTAATTTTACTTACATCTCTCATTATTTTTACTGCTTCTCTTATTCTTCCTAACTTTCTTGCACACATTGCCAATCTTCTTTTAATATACACCAGCACATTGGTATCTCTCCCTATTTAGAAATGCAAAAAGATGTATTATGGCCTGCTATTTTTCAACATACTAACCACTAATTTTAATTGCTTACATTGAAAGATCCAACCAAAACTAAATTGTGTCAGAAGGAAGAATATTAATGATTGTTGAATTTGGGAGATGAATACTGAGTAGAGGTTCTCTGTACCTTGTGTGTATGTTTTAAGTTTTCTGTGTAAAGCGTAAAATATATACAGAATTAAATAGAAGGGGAAACATATATATATATATATATATACTGAATTGTTTTTGCCTCTAACACTAAGTAATCTAAATATTGTAACATATAGAGAAATGTATTTAAAATTAAAAAGCATATTTTAACATTAGCATAAAAGAAGCAAACATTAACAGAAAATATAATGCTAAATTATTATTTAATGTATATATAAACAATTATATTTCCTATACTTTTCACCAAAAAATAAAAATGTTATTCAAAATAAGATTTCCGTAGTTAATGTAAACCTTTCTTAACTATGAGCAAAGAATTAAAAAAGACTTCTGGAAGAAGCTATAAAATTCTGTAGCCTAACTATATTTAAGATTACACGAGGACAAATGGCTTTACAAGCATACTTTCAGGTTGAAAAAGCTCATATTCCCACAGTTGTATGTTATAACAACATGAACTAATGAAACATAAACAGCAATATTTAACTTAGAAAGACAACATGTAAATTTTAATTTTCACAAACAAAAGTCTTAGAATTTAACTGCTAATGGATAATATAAACATATTTCAATTTATTGCTCATTATATGCCAAAATCATGAACTAAAATCCTCTGTCCACAAAAATAGCAAGCAGCAGTATTGTTGAGTCTAACATCCTTTTTAAAAGTTTCTCACTCATAACTAGGAAAATATGCCCAAGAACTAAATGAAAAGACCTCACATTGGGTTATAGCCAATTTTATCCCAAACAGAACATAGAGAAAAAGCAACCAAAAAATCAATGCACATATAAGGCTAAATTTTGTACTTAGCTCAGAAAGCATGAAATAACACACTTCTATTGTTTTCAAGTGTAAAGATAAAGGTAATAGCTGCTTATTATCACTAGAAGGCTCTCCAGTGTCCTGAACATTTTTTGAGTTATGCAAAAACATAACCAGTCCAATTTTTAAATGAAAGATTACTGTTAAGTCTCAGGATAGCATATTTCCTCTCAATAACCGGGGCAGGGCTGATCTGTTTTCTTTACACAAGCATTCCTTGGCTAATATACATTGTCTTGCTGGTTTGTAGGCATTACAATTAATGATCACTTACGAAAATTAGCTAACAGCTACAAATTTTAACTATTGCTTCTTTCTTTCTAATTTTATTTACTTATTTAGAAAGAGAGAGAGAGAGAGATCTTCCACTCACTGGTCTACTCCCCAGTTGGCCATAATGAGCAGCACTGGGCCAGGCCAAACCCAAGAGCCAGCAGCTGCTTCGGGGTCTCACACGGCAGCAGCAGAGGTCCAAACACTTCAACCACACTCTGCTGCCCTTCTCAGGGCATTAGTAGGGAGCTGGAAGGGAAGTGGGACAGCTAGGACATGAAGTAGCACCCATACAGGTATAAGAATACGAAGCAGCTTTAATCCCTGTGCCATAATGCCAGCCCCCTATTGCTGTTTCATGTTTCAAACATTAGACTGAATTATAGAAGCTAGAGGAGACAGCAAAAATCAGTTTAAATTTGCTTACTCAGTTGAGCTTCATGCTGAGGACTTTGGTGCTGGCACTGCTGTGATCGCCTATACATTGTTTCTCCTGCTTTGAGTGCCTGCTTAAATAACCTTTCCGCATCTATAATGGTTGTTGCTTCTTCCTCAGCCAATAGGACGTAAGCAGTGGCACAGCTATGAAGAAAGCAAGCAAAAACAATTCTAAGTAAACTAGTTAGGCAAATAATTGTTTTATTTTGAGCAACATGTTTCTTTTAACATTCATTTCATGTGGGACAGAGTGCAAACTGGAAAGACAGCATCTTGACCAATAGAGCACTATAACTTCTGACTCAGAAATACCTTTTGCCAAAATCTGAGCATTCCGTCTGCATGCTGCTCTGTATCCTTTCGGACTCAGCCACAACAGGATGCAGTAAACTTCCCTTGATCTGAATTCCAATCCTTCCTCCTACAATCCTCCTCTTCCTCCTCATGCTTCTACCTAATCCAAGTGTTCTTCACTCCATTAATACAGAGATTTTTCTTTGTGTCTTTTAAGTCAACAACAGGCTAACAAGATAAACTAATTTCTATTTTGGTCCAACAAAAAGAACAAGCTTCCTTTTCATTCCCAGAAATACCAAGAACATCTCTCTGAAGGCAATGTGCTAGTTTGGATTATCTAAGCCTGCACTGTCTACCATTCTAATCATTAGCCACACGTACTTGAAATGTGGCTACCCTCAATTAAGACATGATGTCAGGGTAAAGTAAGTGCACACAGGAGTTTGTAGACAGAAAAGCCGGAAATATTGCAATAATATTTTTAAAATAATGATGTACAGAATGTGTTAATATTTTGAACATAGTTAAATAAAACATTATTCAAATTAATCTCCTCATTTTTTACTTATTATTACCCTTCTACATGTTATTCTATATGTGTGTGTATACATAGATATATATTCTTCCTTATATTCTTGTATTGAAGCATGCTGATCTAGGCAAGGGGAGAGAGATAATTGGTAAAAGCACAAGACCAACAGTGATGGCAAGACAGCTATCATCAACTGGTGACAAGAGAGTCTTCCCGACATGGAAAATGAAATTCATACCATTCATGATATCCTAAACTAATAATTTCACTAAACAACAAATATTTCCCTATTATAATGCACTGAATTTTTCTGAAGCTTTAAATACAATGCAACTTCACTTTTTTTTAATTTTTAAGAATTTATTTTCATTTTATTTGAAGGGCAATGACACAGAGAAATACTTCATCTGCTGGGTCACTCTCCAAATACCTACAACATCCAGAGCTGGACGACAGAGAGGTCAGGAACCCAGAAGTCAATCTGAGTCTCCTATATAGTTGGCAAGGACTCAGGTACTTAAGCTATCACTGGCTGGAACACCCACTCCAAACTGCTACCTAAAACACTAAGTTCTTGGGCCCAGCACAACTTAACCACTTACCTTGCATGCACTGGGATCCCATATGGGTGCCGGTTGCTATCCCAGTTTTTCCATGTCCCTTCCAGCTCCATGCCTGTAGACTAGGAAAGTAGTGGATGACGGCCCAGCTAATCCACATACAGCTTTAAACTGTATAGTTTAATTGTATATTTTTTTGTGTGAATTTTACCTCAATAAGAAAGCTCTCTCTCTCTATATATATATATATACACATATAGATAGATACACACACACAATTATGTATATATGTGTGTGTATATATATATAAATATATATGTGTGTATATTTACTTATTTTGGAAAGGCAGATATACACAGAGAAAGATCTTCCATCTGTTAGTTCACATCCCAAATGGACACAATGGCCAGAGCTGAGTCAATACAAAGCCAGGAACCAGGAGCTTCATCCAGGTCTCCCAATTGGGTGCAGAGGCCGAAGGCTTTCACGTGTCCTCAGCTGCTTTCCCAGGCCACAGGTAGGGAGCTGGATGGGATGTGGAGAAACCAGGATACAAACTGGCACACATGAGGGATCCCTGCCCATGCAATGCTAGCCCTTTAGCTGCTAAGCTATCATATAAGGCCCAGAAACCTATATTTTCAAAAGTGTAATTCATTAGATAGTCATAATACCAATTTTTATACTAATACATTGTTGAAATGATATATGAAATCTTTAAGGAGAAGAACCTCTTTAACCCTGTACTTATATTATATACTTTTAAATCATGGTGATAATTTGATTCTCACCTAAAAAAAAAAAAAAAAAGCTATTTTTATTGTGGTTACTTGAAACCATTTTAATTGCTTTTCAGAATAGCAATTAGGACCCTAGTGTTGTGTCTTGTTTTATTTTTAAAAACTTATTTTTCTTAGAAAGCTAGATTTACAGAGTGAAGGAGAGACAGAAAAAAAGATCTCACATACACTGGTTGACTCCCCAAGTGGCCAAATGGCCAGAGCCGAGATAATCCAAAGCCAGGAGCCAGGAGCATTTTCCAGGTCTCCCACATGGCTGCAGGGTCCCAAGGCTTTGGGTCATCCTCAACTGCTTTCCTAGGCCACAAGCAAGGAGCTGGATGGGAAGTGAGCATCCAAGTTATGAACTGGTGCCCATATAGGATACCTGCATGTGCAAGGCAAGGATTTTAGCCACTAGGCTATTGCACCAGGCCCAGTTTAAAGCAATTTTAAAGTATATTAATTTGGGGGGCGTTACCCCGGCCACCATGCGGCCGGGGTTCCCCAGGCCCAGCTGCTTCTTGACCTGGTAAGCAACTAAGCAGTCTCCACGCTCACTTGGGGGACTGCTTCGGGCGGCCAGCAGGTGAAGCCTGGCGCCAACTGATGCACTGGCCGCCCGGCCAGGGAGCCCTGAGAACTTGGTTCTCTGTATGCTGCTCAGACAGCTCCATGCCGAAACTGCGGTATTTTGGGGACACCAAGCAACCCTAAAGATTTCCAATGTCTGTAAATCTTCCTCAGACGAACCTGCAGCTAATACGGTCTCACCCCATATGTTCTGAATGATTGTAATTCCCAATATACTGCCAATTCCTTACGATACACAGTAACTGGGTGGGAACACAGAGAAATCTCTCATCTCCTTTGAAAAAGCTAGGAATCCGCGTAGTGTAACCTACAGGAACTGGATAGGTATCTTAAAGTTGATAGATCCAGATCAGCATTAGACAATAGCAAAAACTACAATGACACGCAGGGGGAATTAGGAACGACCCAAAACAGTCTATTAACAGGTGGTCATATGCACAGAACTGGGGAGAACCCCAGGGCGGAACAGCGGGACAGGAGGAGGCTTATCTCCCACCCACAAGGACTCCTGGACAGGAGTATCAGAACGGACACAAGAACGTCATCACAACTGCCAAAGAGAACACGGGGATCTGGAATGCCTCCGGATGCCGAGAACCCAGAGGACAGACATCCCCCCTCTTTGGACAAACTACACGAGATGGAAGAAGCCCGAGTCCTTCCACATAGGAACTAAAGACATCAGAACAACAGCCAGGAACCACGATCGGTCATCAGAACCAGAAGATCAATAAACTTCCTGCGGGACAATGGGAGAGGAACATTCTCCAGTCCTTACCTAGTTCCAGCTCTGGGCCTCCGCCCTCTATAATGACCAACAAGGTTCCTCCTAAACCCCCTCCCCCCTACACACACACACACACACACACACACACACACACACACACACACACACACTAATAGGATGAGATAAGCAAAGAACAATAAAGAAAGATAGGTCATCAAGGACTCACACATGTCCTATTAGATGGAACACAAAGAACAAGTACCCATCAGCAAGGTATGAGAGATTTCTCTGCAACACCCCCCAAACTTGTTGCACACCTCAATTGATGAGGTGTCATTGAAATAGTTACAGGAGGTTGTCAAGAACTTACAAGTAAATTTAACATATTGTCTACTCAATACTATGTCAGATACCACATGTTTGCCTTGATTTAACCTGTAATTTTTGCTTGGTTGTTTGTTATTTTTTGAACCTGTCATTGATACTGTCTCAACCCAGATGTTTTGAAGAATTGAACTTGCATTATTTTTTAACATATTTCAATACTATGTCAATTAATTCCATAATGTTGTATATTGATGCTGATGTTTTGTTAGGGATTTTAACTGACCGGAACTTTACTCTGTTAGCTCTACCTTCAGACCAGAGAAGGCCTCCCCAAGAGGCCACTGAACTTATCTGGACAATAAGATGCTGGACTTTATGCTAGGTATATGCTTGCAATGAAGGAATCTCAACTGAACTTGAGCTGCAGTTATGCAGCAAGGTGGAGGAATCCACTATGGGAGGAGGGGTGTGGGAAGGGTGGGGGGAATCCCCAGTGCCTATAAAACTGTATCACATAATACAATGTTAATAACAATTAAAAAAAAGAAATTAAAAAAATAAAGTATATTAATTCAAGGAATTCTTTAAAAAAAAAAAAAGATTTATTTTTATTGCAAAGTCAGATATACAGAGAGAGGAGAAGAGACAGAGAGAAAGATCTTCCGTCTGATGATTCACTCCCCAAATGACAACAACGGCTGGAGCTGTGCCTATTTGAAGCCAGAAGCCCAGATCCTCTTCAAGGTCTCCAACATGGGTGCAGGGTCCCAAAGCCTTGGGCCATCCTTGACTGTTTTCCTAGGCCACAAGCAGGGAGCTGGATGGGAAGTGGGGCTGCCAGTATTAGAACTGGCGTCCATATGGGATCCTGGTGCATTCAAGGCAAGGAATTTAGCTGCTGCTAGGCCACGGCGCCAGGACCCAAGTCAAGGAATTCTAGCATATTGACAGAGTTCTTTGACCATCACCACTATGTAACTTGAGAACATTTTCATCATTCTGAATTAGGCAATCACTCACCATCTCCCTCAACTCAGCTAACCCTAGCAACACAAATCTATTATCTATTGCTTGAAAGTTTATTTGAAAGGCAGGATTAGAGAGACAGGAAAAAAAAAAGAGAGAAAGAGGAGGATATCCTCTATCTACCAGTTCACTCCCCCAAAGCCAACTAGTTAGGGTTAGAGTAGGCTGAAGCCAGGAGCAAAGAATTTCCTCCAAGTCTCCCACATGGGTACCGGGGCCCAAACACTTGAGTCATCCTCTGCAGCTTTCTTATGCATATTAGCAGGGAGCTAGACTGAAAGTAGAGCAGCTGGGACTCAACATGGCGCTGGAGTGACAGGTGGTGCTTTTATCTACTATGCCTCAGTGACAGCCTCACTAATGTTCTTTGATGCACAAAAGATTTTAATTTTCATGGGCTAATTTATTTCATTTTTGTGTTGCTTTTAGTTGTAGTGTAAAATCTAAGAAATTACTTCAAAATCCAAGATCAGGGCCTGGCGTGGCAGCCTAGTGGCTAAAGTCTTTGCCTTGCACATGCAGGGATCCATATGGGTGCCAGTTCATATCCTAGATGCTCCACTTCCCATCCAGCTCCTTGCTTGTGGCCTGGGAAAGCAGTTGAGACTGGCCCAAGGCCTTGGGACTCTGCACCCATGTGGGAGACCTGAAAGAAGCTCCTGGCTCCTGGTTTCAAACCAGAGCAGCTCTGGCCATTGCTGCTGCTTGGGGAGTGAATCATTGGATGGAAGATCTTCCTCTCTGCCTGTCCTCCTCTCTGTATATCTGACTTTGTAATAAAAAATAAATAAATCTTTTTTAAAAACCCCAATATCATAAAGATTTTCCCCATGTTTCCTCTAAGAGTTTTGTATTTCAGCTCCTATGTTTACATCCTTCATTAATTTTGAATTGATACACATGGTATGAAGGGCCCAATTTTTACATTTTGTTTTTGTTATTTTGTGTGGCTATCCAATCATTCCATGGCTGCTGCTCCTGATTCTAGTTTTTGGCCAGCCCAGAACCCAGGAGGCAGCAGATCATGGCTGAAGAGCTTAGGTCCCTGGGATACACATCAGAAACCTGGATTAAGTTCCTGCCCCCAGCCATTACAGTCATTTAGGGAATGAACCAGCAGTGTAAGTGCTGCCTCCTGAACAATCTTTTGTTTTGTTTTGTTTTGTTTAGGTGCCATTACAGTAACACCACATTTAGACACATTTAGACAACACATTTAGAAATAAATTTAACCAGGCATGGCATAATGGCTTAGTGGCTAAATCCTCATCTTGCAACCACCAATAACCGACACGTGCATCGGTTCATGTTCAGGAAACTCCAAGTTCCTTCCAGCTCCCTGCTTTCCATGGCCTGGGAAAGCAGTAGAGGTTGGCACAAAGCCTTGGGAACCTATACTTGTGTGGGAGACCCAGAAGAAGCTCCGGGCTCCTCACCTCAGATTGGCTTAGCTCTGGCTGTTGTGGTCACATGGGGAGTGAACCAGTGGACAGACGATCTTTCTGTCTCTCTCTCTGTAAATATGGCTTTCCAATAAAAAGAAATAAATCTCCTTTTTTTAGGAAGGAAGGAAAAAAGAAAGAGAGAGATGATGGATGGATGGATGGATGGATAGATGGGAGGGAGGGAAGAAAGAAAGGAGAGGAGAGGAAAGGAGAGGAGAGGAGAGGAGAGGAGAGGAGAGGAGAGGAGAGGAGAGGAGAGGAGAGGAGAGGAGAGGAGAGGAGAGGAGAGGAGAGGAAATTTAACAAAGAAACACAAGACTTGTGTATTTAGAAACTACGGGGACAGGTGTTTGCAGCAGCCACTAAGGTGCCACCAGGGATGTCCACAACATATTTCAGAGTGAATGGATTCAGATCCCATCTGCTCTAAATTCTAGGTTCCTTTTAATGCACCTTATGGGACACGGCAGGAGATGGCTCAAGTACTTGGGTCCTTGTCAGGCACACAGGAGACATGGCTAGAGTTCTAAGCGCTCAGCTTCAGATGGCCTCTCCTCCACAAAAATCAGAAGTTTTATTAGATGGATTCTGTGTGTGTGCTGTGGCACACTTTCAATTTTCAGCCAAGCCGACTACAACTCTGTCTTAGCCTTTCCTTCCTACTGTGTAGGACCTGAAGGCTTGCCATCCAGGAGCACTCAGCTCCTTTTCAGGGCTTTTCCAAGCACAAGTCTAGTTAATGCCATGTTTTCTGTCTCTGATATTTCCAGGAATATGGAAGAGCTTTTCAAAGTGTCTCATTCCCCAGCTTTCCCTCATAACTTTTTTGTCTTGTCTATCCTCTGCCCTAGCTGTTAACCCTTGCTCAAGTAGGAACTAATGCATTTGCCTTTAATGTTCAAATAAATACCCTCCACAGTAGTAATGGCAACCTTGAAATGGCTTTTATTTAGCAAAAAACCAAGAGCAAATCTTTTAGCTGATTATTCAGGGAGCCATCAAATGGGTCAAAATAAACAAACATTGTTCTTTGGAATAATCTGTTTTGCTTCCTCTGGTACTAAAAAGCTATACAATACACAATGCTGGCTTCACGGTTCTGCTGAGCTAGGACTTGAGGATGGGACCATGGTAAATTAAAACACAACACGACTCTTATGAAAGTTCATCCACTAGATTACTTTTAGCTAGTTTCAAAATTTCAGTAAGGCTGTTTACAACAGTTTTTTTCAGTTTATTCACTGACTTTAGAGTTCCCTACACTGACATTTTAAAATAAGATTTATTTTTATTAGAAAGGCAGATATACAGAGTGAAGGAGAGACAGAAAGATCTTCCATCTGCTGACTCACTCCCCAAAAGACTGCAATGGCCAGAGCTGAGCTGATCCAAAGCCAGGAGCCAGGAGCTTCTTTCAGGTCTCCCATGTGGGTGCAAGGTTCCAAGGCTTTGGGCCATCCTCAACTGCTTTCCGAGGCCACAAGCAGGGAGCTGGATGGGGAGTGGGGCAGCAAGGATATGAACAGCAGACCATTTGGGATATGGTCACTTGGGGTGAGGGATTAGCTAACTGAGCCATTGCACCAGCTCTGGAATGGCATTCTTAACTAGGACACTATATTGGGGTGAGGTAGAAGATATTTATTAGTGAACTTTAAATTCACTATCTAGGAGGCATTCCTTGATTAATCTAAACTGATATCGTATTTTAACTCTTGCCATCTACTTAGTATGTATTAGATTAATATTTATTGATCTGTTACTTTTAGATATTGCTTTTTCAAAATATAAAACTGGAATAAAAAAATAAATGCTAACATTTTAAAAAGCCCTTAAATTGCCAAAGCTGTTTTATTTTGAATCCCCTCTTCATGCCTTTAATACAATTACCCAATAAAGTTCTTAGGGATAAGCAAATGCTTCAAATGAATAATTTGAATGAAAACAATTATTAAAATAAATGTATTTTAGTGCTCTTTTCACTATTAAGTATTATCAATATTTTCCATTGGCATTCCCTACTTTTAAAAGTATTTCTAATAGAATCTCTACTCAAAAGCACTTGTTCATGTTTTCAGAATATTACCTCTAGTACGAAAACAAGGAGAAGGACTGATAATGACTACAATTGTCTCAGGAACAGATACAAGGAAAGAGAAAGTCATCTGCTTGCATTTGCTTCAAAAGAAACTTATTTTTCATATACTTCAAACTTACTCATTGTTTAGTTCTAAAGCTTGATAGGCTGCTTTGATCCGAGCTGGGGGATTTCTTTCCCTCCATGCCTTCTGCATAACTGCGGGAAAAAACATTTCAGAAAGTAGAGGATATGGTCACACATGGGCAATCTTATGCCAAACGTATGAAGAATGAGCCAAGAGAATAAACAAAGCTTTAAGTAACAGGTTTACACAAGTGAAATAAGAAATTGAGTTATTAGTTCACATTAACCTTATGAAAAATTTACATCAAATTTGGAATTGTGCATATAAAAATACATGTTCCAAACACTTGAATAACAGCATATAAGGTACTTAAAAAGGTTAGTCACATTGTTACCGGACACGAACATTTATATATCTAATATCACAGCAAAACTGAGTTTAAGGGGCAGGTATTAAGGCACAGAACTTTAGGATACCAGCATTCCATATTGGCACACCAACTCTACTCCACTTTCAATCCATCTTCCTGCTAATGTGTCTGAGAAGCAATAGATGATGGCTCATGTACTTCGATCCTTGTCACTCGCACAGGAGACCAGGACAAAGCTCCTAGCTCCCAGCTTTGCCTGACTGATCCAGTTATTGAGCGATGTGGAGAGTGAACCCAGCAGATGGAAAGTCTATCTCTAGGTCTATGCCATTCTCTGCCACTCTGCCTTTCAAGTAGATATACAAATCTTCAAAAAAAATTGAGTATGAATAACATCATATTGTGACCAATATGAAGCACTACAGTTATACTTTTATTACTTTGAAAAGATTCTATGGACCTGCTAAAATTTATAAATTTAAAAAACAAAGTCTTGTTTAACCAAGAATTCATTCTAGAAAAAAAATGTTTGGATTCATATTTTGTATAAAAAGGAAGAAAAAGGAGAATCAATTTAAAATATGGTACATCTCTGGAAAATGTCAGCCTCATTCAAGATTCAACAAAAGCCTGAGTTAGAGCTTCTCTGGAATAGCAATAACAGCTTTGCTAGCATTTACTGTGGTGAAATGAAGATTTCATACTAAGCAAAGTTTCTAAAACTTGAGCAAACAAACAAATAAGGTTGATTCATGAAGCTATCCGGCCAGCTTCAAGATTGATAAGAATACTAAAGAATATGAGTGTTGCTCTTGGAACGAACCCCATAACTGTCCAGAAAGAATAATGTGGAAAATGTTTGAGTTTTCCTTTGGAAACAAAATATTAGTCTTGGCTAAGAAAAGGAGACAATATATTCCACTTGTGTAACAAAAATACATTTCTCATATCAAACATGTCACCAGCTAGCTGACAGCTAGTGCTTCCTGAGCTTGACAAGCTGATGCAACTCAGCACTCAGCTGATACTGCACAGGTAAAGAGCATCAACTTGCTGAAAAGCCAAGCTATCACACAAAAATACAGTGGACTTGGAATTTTTGATGGAGTGGTTCTCTCCTATGAATTATATGATACTTATTTACAAGACAAATTTTAGCATGAAATTTTTACATGATCATTTACCATTCCAGTTTATAAAGAACATATAGATCATAATTTATCCAATTCCCTTTGATAGTCAATTAAGTTACACCAAGTTTTTTTTTTTTGGCAGAAAACATGTTAGTAATTTTTTAGTGTCTACACGTATCTGAACAAAGATTTTATTTCTAAAAGCAGAACAGTTGGGCAAAATGATTACATCCTTTAAAACATTTTAATCTGGGGAGTATGGTGGCATTGCAAGCTAATCTTCCACCTGCTAGTGCTGGCATACTATATAGACATTGTTTTGAGTCCCAGCCGCTCCACTGCTGGTCCAGCTCCCTGCTAATGTGTCTGGAAAAGCAGCAGAGGATGATCTAACTCCTTGGGCCCATGCATCCGTGTAGGAGACTAGGAAAAAGCTCCTGGCTCCCAGTTTGGGATCAGCTCAGCTCTGGCCATTGTGGCTAGTGAACCAGCAGATGAAGACCCTCTTCTCTAGTTTCCTCTTCCAGCTCTATCTCTTAAAATTTGCTTTTTAAGCAAAAATAAATAAATCTAATGAAGATATTTTTTATGTATAACCCCAAACTTCTCTTGATAAGTCCGTTTTAATTTGTATTCTTTCAATCTAAGAGACTTTCTCTATGTTCTTACAACCGTGTTATAAGTATCCCTAAAACTCAAACTCAGAAACTCAAATTGCTTCTAAATCTGAATAACTCTTGAGCACCAACATGATGCCACAGTGGAAGATTCCATATCTGATCTCATGTGATAAGTCACAGTCAAAACATAGGCATCCCGAAAATGCTATATAAAATTATATTTAGGCTATCTGAATAAGGTGTGTGTCTACACACACACACACACACACACACACACATTTATATTACACAAATGAGTTTTGTTTTTAGACCTGAGTCCCATTCTCAAGATACTGTACTATATACATGTATATGTAAATACTGCAAAAACATTTCTTTAAATCATCATAATTTCTGGTCTTAAGAATTTCCTGTAAGGGATGCAAAAACAACATACATCTCTCTTCTATCTTTCTTTCTTTCTGCCTCTTTCTACTCTTCCTTCATCTCATTATGATTATTTTTATTTGAAAGTTAGGGAGAAGAGAGGGGATAAGTGCACTCACACTTGCTCATTCATTCCCCAAACACTCAAAAAATCAGAAGTTGGACCAGGCTGAAGTCACAAGCCTGCAACTCATTCTGAGCATCCAGCATGCATGGCAAGGATCCCAGCAGTTGAGCCATTATCTACAGCCTCCCATTGTGTGCCCCATCATGAGACTGGATCAGAAGCCAACCCCGGGCTGGAACTGGAGTACTCCTGTGAAGTGCAGGTGTTCTAAGCAGCATCTTAGTCTCTGTGCCCAACATCTGTCCCAATCCTTTCTAATCAGAAGCATTTGGAAATATACATCATTTTACTGTACTTTTAAAAAGTTGTGATGAGATCATCTAACCCATATGTAAGTACCTTTTTTATTTTATTCTTTTGAATGTTCTATTCAACCTTCAAATATTATTCACAACCAAGACAGCCCTAAGCCTAAGGGAAAGGGGAGAACACAGGAGAAAAAATCTGCATTTTATTCTAAAACACACATAATGCTTGCTTAGCAGTCAACTGCTCTCTAGAAAGAGCTACTCATGGGATTAAAAATAATCAATACAAGCAGTTGGTAATTAACTCAAACTTATCCATTTCTCAAATTAAATAATATGTTAGCAAGCACAAGAGACCAATAGTCATCCTAAGATCAGGGGTCACAAATGTAAATGACCACAAAGGGCAGGCAGGAAGCACATGCACCACCTGAAATGGGAAGCCACAACTCAACTTTTGCCAAGTGGAAATGCAGGTTCAGTTTTTTCATATTTTCCAACTTTCAAACCTGTAAATCTAGATTTTAATGTAAAACTGCCCAATTTTTAAATTCTGAAAACCAAAACAAATAAAACAAAATACTGGTGACTGGCCTTTGAGGGAATATTTGGTATCCATTCAGGATGATCAAATTAATAATGTCAGAAGAAAACCAGCTAATTCAGTCATTACTGATGACAAAATGTTAAAGGAAATTTGTCATATCACACATATCTACACATCTGTCTTTTGTAAAAAAAAAAAAAATTGAGAGGTAGAGAAAGAAAAGGCAAGGTTCATTGCCTGGTTCATTCCCCAGATGTCTACAAATGATAGAGCTGGCCAAGAATATAGCCAGACGCCAGGAAACTCAATCTGGCTCCCACACAGGCGACACGGACCCATTTTCCTGAGCCATCACTGCTATCTCCTAGGGTTTGCATGAACAGAAAGCAGGAGCGCAGGGCCAGGTTCTCAACACAGGCATGCAAGGTGAGACTGGTGCCTCTTATCCAGCGTCCTCAGCACTAAGCTGAATACCTGCCTCCATTTGTTTCTTCTGAATGCAGAGCTATTGATGTAAGTCATTACCCTCATGTGAATCACTAACACGACCAATATAGAACCAAAAGTCCCTCTCTGAATTTCAAAATAAACTATCCTTGAGTTTAGGCATTAACAAGGATTATGGAAACATCTAGATGTACATGGAATTCTCCCAGACTAAAATGGTATGCATTGTCTTAACAGAATCAGTTTCTAAAGCTTCAACTCCACCCCCTAGCCTCGGCAAAGGAAACAGGTGAATGCAGAAGGTTTTCCTCCATTTTTGTTTTAAGATTTTTTTTCTTTAAATCTCAATTCACTAGCATTTTTTGTGCAGAAATGCTATCATCACAAGAGTATATTTTTTTTGAAAGATTTATTTATTTTTATTGCAAAGTCAGATATACATACAGGAGGAAAGACAGAGAGGAACATCCTCTGTCCCTTGCTTCACTCCCCAAGTGGCTGCATCAGTGGGAGCTGCGCCAATCCGAAACCAGGAGCCTCTTCTGAGTCTCCTACATGGGTGCAGGAGCCCAAGGATTTGGCCCATCCTCTACTGCTTTCCCAGGGCACAAGCAGGGAGCTGGATGGGAAGTGGGTCTGCCAGGATTAGAACTGGCGCTCACACGGGATCCTGGTGTGTGCAAGGCAAGGACTTTAGACACTAAGCTATTGCACCAGGACCAAGATTGTTTTTAAAAAATTTATTTTTATTGGAAAGTCAAATATAGAGAGATAAGAGACAGAGAGGAAGATCTTCCATCTGCTGATTTACTCTCCAAGTGGCTACAATGGCCGGAGCTGTGCTGATCTGAAGCCAGGATTCTGGAGCCTCTTCTGGATCTCCCAGGCGAGAGCAGGGTATCAACGCCTTGGGCTGTACTAGACTGCTTTCCCAGGCCACAAGCCAAGAGCTGGATGGGAAGCAGCGCTGCTTAGATTAGAACCAGTGCCCATATGGTAACCTGGTGCATAAAAGGTGAGGACTTTAGCCACTAGGCTACCACTCCAGGCCCTTATTTTAACTTTTTTGTTTGAAAGGAATTGCTGGACAAGTCTGCTGCTTCAATACTCAAGTGGTCAGAACTTACAGATGTGAAGCCAAGAGCCAGCAGCTGCTTGAGGACACAGCTTGAGCCATTCTCTGCTGCTTTCCCAGGCCATAAGCAAGGAGCTGGATTGGAGGTGAAGCAGCAGGACATTAACCTGAACTGCTTAGGGATACTGGCACTGCAGACATAGGCTTAGTCTATCACAGCATGGTATTAGCCCCTAAGGCTTCAACTTTTAGGACATTCCTATAACTATCTGACAAATGCTCCTCTGCTTGATTTATCAGTCACACTACTGTTCTCTCCCCTAACCAGCCAAAATCCCCCATATCTCTTCTTTCTCTTATATGCACCCTTTCATTTCACAAAAGAAATGCTTGTGTCAGAGTGTAAACCTCTCCAGGTGCCAAAGGGACAATTTAGCTTGCATTCAGGAGCATCCCTTCACCATGGCACCCTATAATGTGCATTTCTATTTCTTATTCTTTCTCTGCAAAGTTATTAAAGAGGCAGATAAAGACGGAAATTACATCTAGTAATTCATTCCCCAAACGCCTGCAATACTGTGCAGTCAGGAATGCAGTTGAAGTCTCATATGTAGTGGCTCACTGACATGAGCCATCATTGCTGCCTACCAAGTCCACACGAGTGCAGCTGAAGGCAGAGGAGAAGCTATGGAACCCAGGCCCTGCGCCTGCATCTTAACCTTACACCAAGAAGAAAGTCTCTTAGATTGAAAGAATACAAATTAAAACAGACTTATCAAGAGAAGTTTGGGGTTATACATAAAAATATCTTCATTAGATTTATTTATTTTTGCTTAAAAAGCAAATTTTAAGAGATAGAGCTGGAAGAGGAAACTAGAGAAGAGGGTCTTCATCTGCTGGTTCACTAGCCACAATGGCCAGAGCTGAGCTGATCCCAAACTGGGAGCCAGGAGCTTTTTCCTAGTCTCCTACACGGATGCATGGGCCCAAGGAGTTAGATCATCCTCTGCTGCTTTTCCAGACACATTAGCAGGGAGCTGGACCAGCAGTGGAGCGGCTGGGACTCAAAACAATGTCTATATAGTATGCCAGCACTAGCAGGTGGATGATTAGCTTGCAATGCCACCATACTCCCCAGATTAAAATGTTTTAAAGGATGTAATCATTTTGCCCAACTGTTCTGCTTTTATATCATTTTTAAAGATTTATTTATTTTTATTGGGAAGATGATCAGATTTGCAGAAAGAAGGAGAGACAGAAAAAAAGATCTTCCTGCCATGCTGCATCCCATATGGGTGCCAGCTCAAGTGCTGGCTGATCTATTCTCATTCAACTCCCTGGTAATACACCTGGGCAAACAGTTGCAGATGGTCCAAGTGCTTGAGCCTCTGCACCCAAGTGGACTGGACAGAATTCCAGGCTCCTGGCTTTGAACTCACTCAGCCCTTGCTGCTTTGGCCATTTGGGGTGTGAATCACAGATGTTCTTTCCCTCCCCTTCTAGGTGATGCCTTACTCAACCCCCACAAACACATATACTGGAACTCTGTCTTTCAATAATAAAATAAACCTTTTAAAAAGAAAAAGGAAATGAAGTCTTTATTTGACTGAAAGGACTGCCAATGAAGACCCATTTAGTCATGTTATATTTAGGACATATGCCAAGTTTAAAAAGCTAAATATGGGGCCTGGCATGATGGTCTAGTGGCTAATTCTTGCCTCACAAGCACTGGGATCACATATGCAAGCCAGTTCATGTCCTGGCTGCTCCACTTCCCATCCAGCTATCTGCTGATGGTCTGGAAGGGCAGTGGAGGAGGATGGCACAACGCCTTGGGACCCTACACCCGCATGACAGACTCGGAAGAAGCACGTGGCTACTGGCTTTGGATTGGCTCAGTTCTGACTGATGTGGCCATTTGGGGAGTAGGCCCATATTTGGGGGATCTCTCTCTGTCTCTCGTGTCTTTGGATCTGCATTTCCAAGAAAAATAAATCTTTAAAAAAAGAAAATGCCATAGATAACATTAGCTATTATTAGTGAAATTGCTTACTACACTCAACACCTAGACTACCCATTGGTTCACACTTAGTTCAAAGAATAAATACAAATATGAATAGTATGTCAAGAAAGATTCAAAGGTAGAACACGATCCTTGTTCTTCTTCCAAGTTTCATACTCTGTTAGAGAAGACCAGCATGAAAGCAATGCATAATGCTGACAAACACTTGTGGATGAATAAGTAACTACAATTACTTCACAGAGGCTTGTACTAACTACTGTAAAAGTACAAAGAAGAAAGTGTCGAATTTGATAGGAGATCCCAGAACAATCTTCCTGGAAAATGTGACTTTTAATTTGGGTACCAAAGGATAGAAAGTAAGTCATCAGATAGAAAAAAAGGGTAAGAAAATGAAAAAAACAAGGAAAGTTGTCATCAAGATTTTTATGTAAACAATTACTTCAGAGTCTCAAGAGAAGACAGAGCAAAACAAGATTTTTCTATGACCTAACACTCATATTGCAAAATACCCCTGATTCTTCTTTATATACATTGTCCTACTCTTTTTATATATAACTGCAGGTATTTATTTGCCAATTCAAAACAGAAAACGCTATTGTAAAGGTAGATTTTTTTATCTGAAAGGTTTTTTTAAACAAGAATCATAAAATGTTTAAATCTTTTATAAGTAAGGGTAATAAGAAAGTATATAAAGTAGTTTATAACCATACTAATTTTAATTTAACCTAAATTTCTTATCAATAATTCCAAACCAAACAACTCTTGATAATAAATAATTCGACAGAACTTTCATGATCACTTTTATCTCCACAAACAGATATGACACCTACCTGTGTCTGAAGGACGTAGACTGTCTGTGTCACAGGTGAAAAGGGTCTGATGGTCCTGAGCTGACAAGTTCATGTCATAGTACGTAAGTGGCTCTTTCCCAGTCACCCACGTGTATCTTTACCAGAACACAAGAAAAAACTCAAATTGGACGTGAGCCCATCAGTCTACTACAACACACTATTTAGATTCCTAAAATGCACTGCCAAGAATTCTGTTTGGTTTTTTTTCAAGTTTATTATAAAAAATATAACAAAATTTGTAACTTAGAAACCAATACTATGAAACAATCAGTAGGCCACCACTACATAATGCTGGTAACCCATATCAGAGCGCCAGTGTGGGTCACTCCGCTTCTGGTCCTGCTCCCTGCTCTTGTGTCCAGGAAGCCACCAGAGGACAGCCCCAGTACCAGGGAGCCTAGCTACCAAGGTAGGAGGCCAGGACGGAGCTCCCGATCGCTGGCATTGGCCTGGCGTAGACCAGGCTTTTGTAGTCATTTGAGCAATGAATTAGCAGTTGGAAGAGCCTTTGTCTCTCCTCTCTGTTGCCTGCTTTTTAAATAAATAAATAAATAGAAGGAGAAAGAGACAAACTAAACTACTAAGATATTAAAACATCAAAAAATAAGCAATAAGGCCTGGCATGATGACTCAGTGGCTAAATCCTTGGCTTCAATGCGCTAGGATCCCATATGGGTACCAGCCGATGTCTTGGCTGCTCCATGTGCCATTTAGCTCCCTGCTTATGGCCTGGAAAAGCAGCAGAGGATGGCCCAAACCCTTGGGACCCTGCACCCATGCAGGAGACCTGGAAGAAGCTCCTGGCTCCTAGCTTCTGACTGGCTCAGCTCTTGGAGCCACTTGGGGAGTGAACCGGAAGATAGAAGACCGTTGTGACTATCCTTCTCTCTGTAAATCTGCCATTCCAATAAAATAATAAATCTTTCAAAAAAAATACCACCAATGAATGCTACTTTGAAAATGGGGCCCGGCAGCGTGGCCTAACAGCTAAAGTCCTCGCCTTGAATGTACCGGGATCCCATATGGATGCCGGTTCTAATCCCGGCAGCTCCACTTCCCATCCAGCTCCCTACTTGTGACTTGGGAAAGCAGTTGAGGACAACACCAAGCCTTGGAACCCTGCACTCGCATGGGAGACCTGGAAGAAACTCCTGGTTTTGGATCTGCACAGCACTGGCCATTGCGCTCACTTGAGGAGTGAATCATTGGATGGAAGATCTTCCTCTCTGTCTCTCCTCCTTTCTGTATATCTGACTTAGTAATGAAAATAAAATAAATCTTTAAAAAATAAAGAAAATGGATCTGAGGGGCTGGTGCTGTGATATAACAAGTTAAGCTGTGGCCTATAATCCCACCATTCTATATGGGCAGTGGTTCAAGTACAAGCTGCTCCACTTTCAATCTAGCTCCCTGATAATGCACTTGGGAAAGCAACAGTAGATGATTCTGCACTCAATGGCTTTGACCTGGCCCAACTCCAGCTGTTGTGGCCCTTTTGGGAATGAACCAATGGATGGAAGATCTATATCCCAACCCTGTAATTCTGCCTTTTAAAACAAAAAGAAAAATAAATCCTAAGAAGACAGGTACAGACACTAGTTCCATTAAAAAAAAAAAAAAAGAAAAAAATAGATTTGAAGGAATAAATCTATTTGAATTAAATAAATACCTGTTAGATAGCTATATTATTAATAATATCACAATTATCTTTAAAAAGTAAAAGTACAGGGCCTGGTGCAATGGCTCAGTGGTTATATCCTCGCCTTGCATGCCCCAGCATCCCATACGGACACCAGCTCATGTCCTGGCTGTTCCACTTCCCTTCCAGCTCCCTGCTTGTGTCCTGGGAAAGCAGAAGAAGATGGCAAACAGCCTGGGGACCCTGCATCCATGTGGGACACCTGTAAGAAGCCCCTAGCTCCTTGTTTTCAATTGGCTCAGCTCTGGCTATTGCAACCACTTTTACTAACAGTGAAATTTATTGGTGGTCTAGGTAGAATGCAGTACAGCCATTACAAATAATGTTTCTGAAGAATTCATATGTGTGAAGACTGTGATGAGAAATCACATTATAGCAGAAAAAGGTAAGTTATAAAGCAATATGTACATCATGGTGTTTTGTTTATATATACACAGAGAGAGAACAGATTAGAAATAATCTGAAATATTATTAGCAGTTATCACTTGCAGTGAGAAAAGATGATTTTTACTTTCTTCTTTTTTTAAAGATTTATTTATTTTTATTGGAAAGTCAGATTTACATAGAGAAAGATTTTCCATCCATTGATTCCATCCCAAATTGCTGCAATGGCTGCAGCTGAGCTGATCTGAAGTCAGGAGTCAGGAGTTGTATGGTATACCCAGAAAAAGCCCCTGGCTCCTGGTTTTGTATATGCTCAGCTCTGGTCGCTGCATTCACTTGGGGAGTGAACCAGCAGATGGAAGAACTTTAGTCTCTCCTCCCTGTAAGTCTGATTTCCAATTAAAAAATAAGAAATCTTTTTTTTAATTTGCTGTGCAGTCTATAAATAAAAATAATCTATGTTATAATTTAAAGTTCTTAAAGTACGATATCCATAGCCTAAACTGGAAATAAATAAAATTTTAAAATGTCAGTAAAGGAAAAACAAGAATTAGGACACAAAATGAAGCCTAGAATTAACCTAACATATGAAACATATAGAAAAGAGTTCTATATACCTGCTAGGCAATGGCTACAGTAAAGACTTTAAGCTTTCTTTAAAAAGATGTGGGTTTTTTTTTGGTTTTTTTTTTAGATTTATTTTTTTCTTGCAAAGTCAGATATACAGACAAGAGGAAAGGCAGGAAGTTCTTCAGTTCACTGATTCACTCCCCAAGTGAACACAATGGCTGGTGCTGCATCGATCCAAAGCCAGGAGCCCGGAGCTTCCTCCAGGTCTCCCACACAGGTGCAGAATCCTAAGGCTTGATGCTGTCCTTGACTGCTTTCCCAGGCCACAAGTAGGGAGCCAGATGGGAAGTGGGGCTGCCGGGATTAGAACCAGCACCCTCAAGGTGAGGCCTCTAGTTGCTAGGCCACCACACCAGGCCTGTGTTTCTTTTTTTTTTTTTTTTTGCTTTGTTTTGTTTTAAAGGCAGAGTGACAGAGAGAGGGAAGAAAGGTGGAGAGAGAGAGAAAGACAGACATCCACAGGTTTACTCCCATAACAATTCCAATGCCTAGGTCTGTGCCAGGCAGAAGCTAGGAGCGAAGAATTCAACCAGGTCTCCAAATGACTAGCAGGAGCCCAAGCCCTTGGTTCATCATCCATGCATTCCCAGATATAGGACTGGAAGCTACATTGGAAGAGGAGCAACTGGGATTCTTTTTTTTTAAAGATTTATTTTTTTATTATTTTTTTATTGGAAAGGCGGATATACAGAGAGGAGAGACAGAGAGGAAGATCCTCCGTCCGATGATTCACTCCCCAAGTGAGCGCAACGGGCCGATACTATGCCGGTCCAAAGCCAGGAGCCTCTTCAGGGTCTCCCACGCGGGTGCAGGTTCCCAAGGCTTTGGGCCGTCCTCGACTGCTTTCCCGGGCCACAGGCAGGAAGCTGGAAGGGAAGCGGGGCTGCCGGGATTAGAACCGGCGCCCATATGGGATCCCGGGCGTGCAAGGTGAGGACCTTTAACCACTGGTGCCACGCGCCGGGCCCAGCAACTGGGATTCTTAATACGGTACTCTGATAAGTAATACTGGCATGCCATTTGGGAGTTTAATCTCCTGTTCCACAACACTGGTTTTGGCTTCAAGAATTCAAACACCAATACAGTTATAAACTCGATTTAGACTTTCACATGGAGACAAACCAAGTACTCAAAAGCAGTATAAGCACTCCCGATGCTAAGAAAATTTTAAGATCTTCATAAGGTAATGTTTAAGAACCTTTTTTTTTAAAGGTTTATTTTTATTGGAAAGGTAGATTTACACAAAGGAGAGACAGGAAGATCTTCCATCTGCTAGTCCACTCTCCAGGTAGCTGCAACAGCCAAAGCTTAGTCCAATTGAAGCCAGGAGTCAGGCACTGCTTCTCTGCCCCTCCCCCGCCTTTTTTTTTTCTTACAGGATCTCAATATAAACTAATAACACCTCTCTTACAAGAGCCTAATTTTTCTTCCCAGAGTACCACAATATCTTATATTGCCAACTCCTCAAGTACAGAGGTTATTGCTGTATCATTTTGGTATTTTCACATTTTGCATAGTGCCCACACTCAAACACAGCAGACACATGCTTCTTGTTCAATAAATTAAATGCTCAATCTACCTCCAGGTAAAATACTGTGTTCCACAAAATGAAAGTGAAATATCTGGCTGTAAGCTTCAAAATATTTTTTTTTCATTTAGAATAAAAGCTGGAAGAGAAATGCACACAGTTGTATAGGCAGAAGATTGCAATATAAAATCAACAAATAAGTACTATACTCTGTACTTAAGTCACCAAAAAAAAATCCACATTCACATTCAGATATTTTTTACTGATTCATCAAATAATGCTGAAATTGGATACGACATACATAGGAATATGCTGATATCTGTCATTTTTTCTGAACCACACATATTCTTTGAAGAGAGCTTTTTAACTAAGGCAGGGAGCTAATTAATATTTGTTATATATCATAAACATGATTTCAAACAATGCTTTTCATTCTTGTAAAAGCAAACACAAAATATATTCGATTAAGTCTTGAGATATATGTCAGAATCACCAACAACAAGGCTGTCATATATTAAAAAAAAAAAAGTCTCTCTAACATTTTCTAAAACTTGGAGCAGGTCCCAGCATATTACTAATAGCCTATATGCCTTTTGTTTTTTGAATTCAAAAGCAGTCAACAATTCAGACATGCAAAGACAGAAAGATCTATTCACTGGTTCACTTTGTGAATGCTTACAACAGCCAGAGCTGGCTCAGGAGCCAGGAGCCTGGAACTCAATCCAGGTCTCTCACATGTGTTGTTAGGACACAACTACTTGACCCATTACTTTCTGCCTCAGTCAGTGTGCATAAGTGTGAAGCTGGAATCAGAAGCTATTCCAGGTTTCAATTCAGGCACTTCATCATGTAATGGAAACATACCAAGTGGCATCTATTTTCTCTTAAAGATTTAGTTGCTTCAACGACAGAGTGACAGAAGAGAAATTTTCCATTTCCGGTTTCATTCTCCAAATGGCTGCTATGGCTGGGATTAGCAGGGCTGAAGCCAGGAATCTAACACTCCATCTTGGTATCCCAGGTGAGTGGCAGAGGACCAAGTACTCTGCCCATTTTCTGCTTTCCCAGACATGTTATCAAGGAGCTGGGCTGGGGGCAGAGTAGCAGTGCTCAAACATATCAGCAATGTTGTAGGAAGTAACTTAACTTGCTATACCAAACACTGTCTCCAACAAACAGCATCTTAACCATAGTATCAAAGGCCAAGCACAATAACCTAGTACCTAAAGTCCTAGTAGCTAAAGTCTTCGCCTTGCTTGCACTTGCTGGGATCCCACATGAGTGCCAGTTTGTGTCCAGGCTTCTCTGCTTCCCATCCAGCTCCCTGCTTGTAGCCTAGGAAAGTAGTTGAGAATGGCCCAAAGCCTTTGGACTCTGAACCCATGTGGGAGACCCAGAAGAAGCTCCTAGCTCCTGGTTTCGGATGGGCTCAGCTCTGGCTGTTGCAACCACTTGGAGAGTGAATCAGTGCACAGACAATCTTTCCCTCTGTTTCTCCTTCTCTCTGTAAATCTTTCCAATTAAAATAAATAAATAAACATAAATATTTAAATAGGAAAAAATGCTTAACTCCATAATACTTATACTCTAAGAACATTACCACATTTATACTGAAAGCAAAATATAATACCTCCTATATTCTGCTCCTCTGAAAAGGTTTAGAGGGTTTCTCCACACTTTACATTCTGAAAAACAATGGGGAAAAAAAGCAGAGATGAGACAGTTTAATTAAATACAGTCAGATCCTTGTTTAATCAACATTTATTGTCAATCTTCTGTATATTCGATACAGTGCTAACCATGGATGGTGCAATAGTGGGTAAAGCATGGATCACCTCACTTTCAAGAAGCATAGAATTAATTCCGTCTCTTTAGCATTCAGTGCAGAATTTAATTATAAGACTTGTGATGCAATTATTTGGTTTTCAATTTCCCCTCTAAAATGTGATCACTTAAAACTTAGTTCATTTTTATGTTCTTGGATCCTATCATAGCATCTGGAACTGACTTGCTTAATTGCATTAAATATAGCATGAAAGTTGGCCATGTAAACAACTGCCTAAACTGTGCAATAAGTGCTGTAGTAGAAATTTGCTTCATTCCAAGAGAAAAATAAAGTGATAAATTTTCCTGTGGGGAAGTCAGGGGAGGCTTTAGAAAAGAGGTGACATTTGAACTGACACTGAATGACTGTAAAAGAGGAATAAAAGATTGCCAGTTGAAGAGAACTACAAAGGCAATATCATAAAACCACACAGCGTGGTAAGTAGAGAATAAGGGGTGGGAGGCAGAGCTATAAAGGAGGCTAGAAAATAGACTATGGGAAATTAATGAAGGGGTTTATGTATGACACTAAGGAGTTTCTATCTTAACCTTGGTGAAAAACAACACATCAAAAGTATACAAGCAGAAAAATAACATAACAGATCTTTATCTAGAACAGTTCTCAAAAGGATTCCTGGAATTGCAAAGTAACAACTCTTTTCATAATAACTTTTAAAGCATTATTTGCCTTTTGGGCTGTGTTGACTTGAACCCAGTTTCAGGACACTGAGAGCTGTCCTTAAAGTTTGCTCCCTAGGCACCTCTCTTGTCTTGTCCCAATCCTGCAAGGCTGAGCTAACGATTCAAAAGCAGTTGTGGACAAAACTGCTACTACTTTAAGAAATGAAGCAGTGACACCAAATTGTATATTAAGTATGGGGGGGCAGGGGAGGGACTAGGAGAAGCAACAGAGGAAAGGAAATTGGTTAGGATATTACAGTGATAGTTTAGAAAAGAGATGTCTTAGACTGTTGGGAGAAAAGCAGCCAATAGCTTGCAGGCATTCTGGGTCTGGTTAATGCCAAGTTTGTGTTAACTATATCCATGTGCCAGCATAGTTGTCTATTCTATTTTATTTATTTTTAAAGATATGTGGGGATGATGTAGAACACAGGAAAGGGACATGCCACCCCATTCCCCAGGCAGACTGCCCAGGGAGAGGTCTCTGGGGATGTACCAGAGTGGGAACAGCTGAGGGCACGGTTGACAGGGAGGAATAACTTCTGGGATCTTCCACAGACCAGACCACCACACTCCCAGGTAAGTAAAGGTGTACATCCCTCTCAACTATGCAAACAATATTAAAAATAAAGCAATACAAATAAAAATTTTTAAATAGGATAGAGATGTCAAGGGCCTAAATATGAGGCATTAATGTTGGAAAGAAAAAAGGAACAGAAGATGGAGTCAAGATAATTTTTCAGAGAGAATCAGTGTAATTTAGGATTAATTACCTGGAAAAGGAAGAGGAAATAGACCAGACTGTAACAAAAGTTTCCAGTATGGAAACTGGGTACCACTAACAAATTTTAGAATCACAGAACAAGAACTAGAAGAAGAAAATAATTAGTTTCACTTTGGATAGTAAGTCCAGGATAGTCCATATCATCAAAAAATGTGATTAGGAATATGGCTCTGGAATTTAAAGAGCTGGGGGGGGGGGTCTACATTTAAATGGGTTTTCCTACCATATATGACTGTATTCAGGGTAAATACTATCAAATGAAATGCAGCCACTCAGCAGAAAAGTTAAATAAAGAGCTATAGACTTGCCTTTGAAACCTAACAAGCCATTCCTTGTGAAGTCTTCGGTTCTTGTCCTCCCTCCAAGAGTAGATGACCATTCCCCTCTATTCTGCCACCAGGAAATCCTGTACATACGCTTACCTAACCACACTCCAGCTGACAATTTGTTTACCCACATCCTCTACCAAGTCAGAATATTAAGGTTATTTTCACAAATTATAAATGGCATATTAAATCTTAAAATAAGGAATAAAATCATATAATGTATTATTGCTATTCTTAAATTTCATAATTTGAAACAGAAATATGCTACATATTTATACATATACATACATATATACATAAAAAGAGAGAGACAATGAATGAACGTGAGAAAAAACTTTTATCCACTGGTTCACTCCCCCAAATACCCAGAACAGTCTAGGTCAAGCAGGCCAGACCTAGAGGCCATGAACTCCCACTTGGAGTCTTCTGAGTGGGTGGCAGGGACCCAATCCTTGAGCCATCATTGGCTGCCTCCCGAGCGTGTACCAGCAGGAAGGAAGATAGATTGGGAGCAAGGTCAGAACTCCATCCTAAGTACTCCCATATGGGATGCGACATCCCACGTGGGAGCTTAATCCGCCGTAGCACAACATGCACCACATTGTTAATACTTACATACTAAACTCTGAGCTGGAGGACAGATTTATGTCATATTCATCTTAATATATCCTGTTCTCAGGGAATTAAAGAATTTTTTCATCAACAGGGAGAAATGAGATAGGGAAAAAGAAGTCTCATTCCTTCCTGTGCTACTGAATGGTTGCCAACCCTACCCCCACTATTTCTGGTCATGGTTCAGGACTCTGCTTAAATGGTACGTCCTCAGGAACTTTGGCCACATCTAAGAACACCAGCAACTGCACTCAAGCAGTAATCTAGGTGGTTGGGATTACAGAACAAATGAGACATTGTAGGAATCTTACAGCATGAACTCCTTTGCATTACTAATGTATCATCATTGCCTTTTACTAAATGAAAATAGTAATCTAAAAACATAGTTTTTATTTGGCTTTAAAAATGTTACTTCCTTAATTATATGTCATTAATAATACTAACTTATTGGGCCTGGCACAGTAGCCTAGTGCCCAAAGTCATTATGGGCACCAGTTCTAATCCCAGCAGCCCTGCTTCCCATCCAACTCTCTGCTTGCAGCCTGGGAAAGCAGTCGAGGACAGCTAAAAGCTTTGGGACCCTGCACCCAAGTGGGAGACCCAGGGGAGGTTCCAGGCTCCTGGCTTCAGATCGGCTCAGCTCCAGCCATTGTGGCCACTTGGGGAGTGAATCATCAGATGGAAGATCTTCCTCTCAGTCTCTTTTCCTCTCTGTATATCTGGCTTTCCAATAAAAAAGAATAATAATAATAGTAACTTCCTGTAATTTGGTACATATGCAGGAAGTATCTGTAATTAAAGGATGATGATGAAATATTCATATATAAAGAACAGAGATTTTAATGTCCTCTCTGAAGAACTTGTAGACTGAAAATAAAAAGTATATTTTCTCCTTTGCTCTTTTAGCACTCAAGCTGCTAGATTACTCCTTTATCAGTAATAAGACCCCTGATTATATGATGGGCATTGAGAAGCAATGACCACACCCACCTTTCCCTAACCCTTGATCCTTCCCACCCTGATTGACTATGTTAATGAATGGAGAGTACGATTATAATTTTAGTTTCACTTATGGTTATAATGGCCATCTGACAAAGGCCTGACCAGTGGGAAGTAAACCAAATCAATATGTGACATTTCAGGGTAGTGTTTTGGCCTACAGTGAAGTAGGGTAAGGAAGAGGAATGTTTTTCTAGTCTTTTGTCCTTGCTGCTAATTGGAATATAAGTATGAAGGATGAATCCATAGCAACTGTCTTGGGTTACAACTAAAACTTGCATTTTGAGATCAGGGACTAATAAAATAGAAAGGATCTAGGTCACCGATGACCACCACTCTCCAAACCAGCTATAGATACTAATATTTACATAAAAACCTATTTGAACAGTTATAACAAAATACCAGTGTACCTGGACCGCTGCGGCTGCTTGGGAAGTGAATCATCAGATGGAAGATCTTCCTTTCTGTCTCTTCTCTATGTATACCTGACTTTCCAATAAAAAATAAATCTTAAAAAAACAAAAACGCTTTAAAAAAAAAAAAATGGGGCCCACCACAGAGGCCTAGCAGCTAAATCCTCGCCTTGAACGCGCCAGGATCCCATATGGGCGACAGTTCTAATCCCGGCAGTTCCACTTCCCACTTAGCTCCCTGCTTGTGGCCTGGGAAAGCAGCAGAGGATGGCCCAAGGCCTTGGGACCCTGCACCCGCGTGGGAGACCTGGAGGAGGGGTTTCTGGCTCCTGGCTTTGGAGCGGCACAGCACTGGCCGTTGCGCTCACTTGGGGAGTGAATCATTGGACAGAAGATCTTCCTCTCTGTCTCTCCTCCTCTCTGAATATCTAACTTTCCAATAAATAAATAAATCTTTAAAAAAATTAATTATACAGCTCTGAAAACATAGAAAGATAGTCACCTGACAAATTCTGTCTGCTGGTTACACTTTGTCTGCTGCTGGAAAGAGAAACTGGCTCTGAGATATTGCTGTCTGCTCCTCCCATCAGTGGTCTCAAATGGCTTACAGACACTTGCTCGATAAAAGATGTGCCATGCTGATGGAAATACCACCATTCAAATATCTGTGACAAACAGAAAAAAAATACACTTAAAATGGAATTGAGCAGAAAATACACAAATTTAAACTAAAACACTCTCAAATCGTATGCTTATTATTTTTAAATACATTTGCCAAAAAATAAACATAAGAGTCTGGGGTCTAGCACGCAGGGGTCTAGCATGTAGGGGTTTGCCTACATGGCAGATGCTGGGTCAATGAGCCTCAGAGGTAGGAATTCCAGCAGGGCCGAGGTCATCTAGCTCAGCTCCTTGGGCCAACCTACAAGAACTGATCCTCCTCAGTGGAAAAGATGAAGTACTGGACAGCTGGGCCAGATCCACATGGTACAGGACATCTGTACCATGCCAACAGGGCAAAACAAATTGGACAACTACCCCAGCCAAGCAATGATAGCAAATATCTGGGTGGATGGAGACTAAGGTCAATTATGTCAAAAGGGTTTCCTCATCCTTGGGTCAGCAAGATCAACAGCGTTTCAAAACTATCAAAACCACCTGGGCAGAAGCCTTGAAGTATATGCCGCATTGGAACCCTGGGCTGACACTGGCCATTCCCCATCCATGAATACTAGGGTGTTTGGGAGGGGTATGGCTTCTCCCCTTATCCTCCCCCAGAAACAGCAAAAAGAAACAGAAAATTAAGAAACAATGATCACACCCACCTTTCCCTAACCCTTGATCCTTCCCACCCTGATTGACTATGTTAATGAACATCATCTAAAAATTTTTTTTAAATAAAATAAATATATTTAAAAAAAAGATTCTGGAGCTGGCATTGCAGCTTGGCAGATAAATCTGCCATAGGCGGTACAAGGATTCCATACGGACACTAGTTTGAGTCCCAGCTGCTCTCCTTCTGATCTAGGTCCTTGCTAAAGTTCCTGGGAAAACAGTGGAGGATGGCCCAACTGCTCAGGTCCCTGTAACCCATGGGAAATCTGGAGGTGGCAGTGGATCCTGGCTTCAGACCAGCTCAGATCTGGCTGTTACAACCACCTGGGAATGAACCAGTGGAGGAAGATCTCTGTCTCTCCCTCTTTTTCTTTCTCTGTAACTGTCTTCAAAATAAATAAAGTGTTAAACAGACACACACACACACACACACAAAGTTCCTGAACAACATATGACACATAAAAGTGAACTATATTTGTTTTCATTCCATCATGAACTTTCAATAACCTCAGGCAAAACTATGCATTTATAATCAACTGTTAAGAGCAATAGGAAACATTTTAACTATTACATTACAGCACCATGTTAGTCTTTTTTTTAATTATTATTATCGTTTTTATTGAGAAGAAAGATCTGATTTTTGGAAAGAAGCAGAGACAGAAAGATCTTCCACTCACTGTTTCACTTCCTAATGGCCACAAAGGCAGGGGCTGAGTTGATCCTATCCAAAACCAGGATCTAGGAGCTTCTTCCAAGTCTCCCATAGGGGATATGGTCCCAAACTTTTTGGTCATCCTTTACTGCTTTACCAGGCTACAAGCAGGGATCTGGATGAGAAGTGGGAGCAGCCAATATGTGAACCATGTCCATATGTAATCCCAGTGTTTGCAAGGTGAGGATTCACCCACTAAGCCATTGCACCAGGCCCTTGTCATGTTATTCTAACTGCAGCATGATTAAAAGAATTTTAAAATAACTGGCACATTGACTTAATGCTACACAAAGATCAGAATGGCCACATTTGACTACCAGATCAGCCATTTACTAGCTGTGTGCTGGAGGTAAGTCATTTCAGGTCTAACATCTTGGAGCCTCCATACCCTCATCTATTGGCTCAGCTCTGGCCACTGCGACCACTTGGGGAGTGAAACCATCAGATGGAAAATGTTCCTGTCTCTCCTCCTCTCTGTATATCTGACTTTGTAATAAAAATAAATAAATCTTAAAAAAAAACACACAAGAAGTATGATGGGATGAGCACTGTGCCATAGGCTGCAATGCTAGCATCCTATATGAGCAAGGATTTGATTCCAGACTCCTCCACTTTCAGCTAAGCTCCCTGCTAATGCACCTGGGAAAGTGAACCATTTCTGTCTGCTTACCACAGTATCCCTAATATCAAGAACAATGCTGGATGTATAAGAGGCTCTCCACAAATATTTACTGAATGAGCTTTCAGTTTCAAATTCTTTACTTGAACTTTAAGTAACTAGTTTTCTATCTTTTGACTATAAAACTACTTTAATGATTTCCTCTTATTATTTATAGCCATTGCATCTACTTGGGGTATGAACCAGCATAGGGAAAATTTCTCTCTCTCTTTCTCCTCCTCTGTAACTCTGCCTTCCAAATAAATGAAAAATCAATCTTAAAACGAAGAATTGGCTAGGTGCTGATGTTGTGCTGAGGCAGTGAGAGAGGAAACAGGGATGCCACCTGCTGATTTACTCCCTAGATGGCCACTATGGCCAGTGCTGGGCCAAGCTGAAGCCAGCAGCTTCATGTGTGTCTCCCACATGGATAGCAGGCACACACATGTGGACCATCTTCTGCTGTTCTTCCCAGGTCTTTAGCAGGAAACTGGATCTGAAGAAGAGCAGCGGGGACACAAACTGGCACCTTCCTAAAATACCAGCAATGTGACACAACATCTACCACTTGAATTTCCCAATTTTTATAATTTTAATATCCTGTTTTAAAGAGTAACAAAAAAAAATTCTAAATGATCCTAAATATACACACACACAGGGTAACAAAAATGTTATAGAAAATGGAATTAAAAGTTTTCTTTATGGCAAAAAATTTCCAAGTATAGTTTTTTTCATGATACTCATCTTCATGAATTTTCTGAAACAATTTGTGTCTGTGTATGCATCTAGATAGATACTTATATTGAAGTTATCCCTCTCTAAAAGAAAAAGAAAAATTAATATTTAGATCATTTATGTGAGTTACTTAAAGTTACTAGTTAGTGAAGAGTCAAACTCAAAATCACATCTTCTGGCTCCAAAACTAATGTTTTGTTTTGTTTTATGAGATCAGCTGTTTAAATGTAGTTTATTTTATTTATTTACACTTCGGTATTCTATAGAGCAAACATGCTAGAATATTCTTAGCTGCTGGTGTGTTTTATAAACCAACCAATTGTGAGCTTTGTAATTTTTATCTTAAATGCTTCAAGAATTTTTCTTTCTAAACCCAGAGTAAAAAAAAATCCCTTTTTTAATGACATTTTACTTTAACAAAATGGTCAATGTTAGTAGTAGTTCCTATCTTAAAAAAAAAATCTAATACAAATATTATTTCTTCTATAGCTGTATAGCACCACCTAGAGATGAGAAAAAAGAACAAAAATTTTGATGTACTGTATCATACTTTCAAGGATTTTTATCTATAGGGCATTTTTTCCAAAGAGTACACTGCGAAGCATTATATCCTAAGGATGTTAATGAAGATCACAAAGCTATGAAAACATGTTTAAATTTCAAATGCTTTCTTGGTCAAAGAATAACTTAAACAGATTTATTTATTCTGGGACTTACCAGAATAATAGACAAAATTCATTAAGTGCTCACCCTGAGATAATTACTATAAGCTTTTACATGCATTATCTCATTTAGTTCTCACAATCCTATAAAAGTGGACATTATTATTATTCCCTGTTAACATATGAGGAAATTAGGGCGTGGAAAAACCAGACTGAATTCTAGATACCAAAAATTTTAGTCTGCCCAATATTGCACACAGTAAAATATTGGCAAATTCTACACAAAATCTACATACTCTGGATCTCTTGAAATGTGCAAAGGGGAAGATCTTGTAACACAGGTCACAACTCTACAATGTCAAGTAACTAGTGTCAGTCCCTTTTGGGAGGAGGGAGGAGGCATGTACCTTCCAGTTACCCAGTTCTCAAAGCAAAGAAGGAATTTAATTCCTAAATGGCCCTCATTAGTCACTTTGTTACCATCCTAGGCCCTTTGACATTTAGTTGTTAACTCATACCCAACTCCTCCTGATTGCAGAATACCAGAAGGCTTTAACGGGCACATAGATATTGGCAATCTGTGTAACTTTTGCCCAGCTTATTTGAATAGATACCTTTTCAAATACTGAATATATTTGGGCATATGTACTGTTACACCAACACTTACAATTTATTGTAACCAAAGAAAAGAGCATTTTTAAACATACCAAAACACAAATGAAGGAAATGGCAAGTACTTACAAATATTAGTCCTGATATCAAAGAAGAGATCCCTGTAAGTGCCACATAGAACTTGGGTGTCAATGAATTTAAAAACACTGTCACTGTCAAAAGAAAAAAAGTCAAAAATTAAAAATTGCAAACTGAAAGTATTTAATTTGCAAATATGCAAGAAATTTTTAAAGAAAAATTATACAGATGCTTCTTGATGGGGTTACTTCCTAATAAACTTATTAAGTCAAAAATGCATTTAACATATCGAACCTACTAACACAGTTTAGCAATGATCGCTGTAGTGTACCAGTCACATACTCTCCAGATCTGTGACTAACATTACAACATCACAAGAGTGCATGTTGCTAGCTCAGCGGAAAACCATCTACCTCCACAACTCGTCAAGTGTGGTTTCGACTGAATGCGTTTCATGTTCATATCTTTGTAAAGCCAAAAAATTGTCAAATCAAAGTATATTGATCTAGGGGGCAATTTATATTAATATCTAGTAAGAAATATGAATTTCTTTCTTGAGAAAGTTTTAACTGTTAGGGCCTGCCCTGTGGTACAGCAAGCCAAGCTGCAGCTTGCAATGTTATCACCCATATCCTAGCACAGTTTCAAGTCCTGGTTGCTGTGATTCCAATCCAGTTTCCTGATGACAAGCCTGCGGAGGCAGTGGATCATTGCCCAAGTATCTGAGGGTTCTGTCATTCACATGGCAGACCTAGATGGAGATCAGGGCTTCTGGCTTCAGCCCTTGTGGCCATCTGGGGGAGTGAACCAGGGGATGGAAGTTCTCTCTGCCTCTCCCTGCTTTGTCATTCTTTCAAGTAAATATACATATTAATGTAAATTTCAAAAGGCTACTTTAACATTAATGGTATACTGGGCCCGGCGCAATGGCACAAGTGGTTAAGGTCCTCGCCTTGCACGCCCAGGATCCCATATGGGCGCCAGTTCTAATCCCGGCAGCCCCGCTTCCCATCCAGCTCCCTGCCAGTGGCCTGGGAGAGCAGTCAAGGACGGCCCAAAGCTTTGGGACCCTGCACCCACGTGGGAGACCCTGAAGAGGCTCCTGGCTTTGGATCGGCATAGCATCAGCTGTTGCGCTCACTTGGGGAGTGAATCATCGGACGGAAGATCTTCCTCTCTGTCTCTCCTCTCTGTATATCCGCCTTTCCAATAAAAATAAAATAAATCTTTTTAAAAAAACATTAATTTAATGGTATACTAAAAATTCATTCACACATGAAAAGGTAGGAGTTTATAAGCAGCATATCAAAATGAGGTAAATTTAGCTTGCTTTTGAATGTAAAACTCAAGGACTTGATAAAAATCACAACTTCAACAAGAACTTTTGCAAATCCGTAAGAAGTTTAAACAGACCTCTTTTTACAAAGGAAGTTTACAACAAGTCCTTATTTTGGAGAAATACAAACCAGTGTTTGAAATGGGAGGGATGTGGTAAATCAGCTCCAGAGGGACAGAGTAACAAAATGAAAGTTTCAAATAATTGTCACACAAATACTGTGGGCTTTAGAAAGAAAAAAAACTCTAACACGGTCAGCTACTCTCACGTAAATGGATATCTGGTTAACACACAGGGGCAAAAAAAAAAAAAAACCCAGTAAATTTAAAAACATTTTACTGGGCATACAAACATCATTAAGCACTTTATTCACCTGTTACACATGCCAAATTAGCTCTTCAGTATAGTATTAGCAATTTCTGGTTTCATATTTGTATCTTTTTTTTGTGTGAGATCAGGGTACACCTGTATCTGTCTTATAAAAAAATTAGTGATGTTGTAGCCAGCATTGTGGCATAGTGAGTAAAGCCACTACCTGCAGTGCCAGCATTCCACATGGGCAGAGTCAGATCCCTGCTAATGCACCTGGGAAAGCAGCAGAGGACAGCCCAAGCCTTTGGGACCCTGCTTGAAACAAACTCCTGGTTTCTGGCTCCTGCCTTCGGATTAATCAGCAGATGGAAGATCTGTATCTCTCCCTTCAACTCTGCCTTTCAAATAAATAATATATTTTTAAAAATATGTCAGAATATTATCTCACAGTCTTTCATGTCATCTCATGGACTACAAAAAGAGGTATTTGTCATCTTTTGCTACAGAAAAATAAAACCATGATACTAAGTCATCGCAGAATCATTTCATCCTATTCTGAGGCTGCTGCTCAGAGCTTTAGTGAAATCCTGTAACAGGCCGGTAGTTCTTATCTAGCTTCCTCTTGCTCAGAGCTGCAAGAACAGTCCCTGCGGAAAAACCACGGGGGATAGCTACCTCTGACATATCTTTTTATCTTCAGGATAGACTACAAAGCAAGCACTCCGCACATAATGTAAACAGCTAATTAACAACCCCACTGTTACTTCTCTCTCCCTTGTCTCACTCTCAACCCTACCTAGTTCTGTTCATTATTCCAGATAAAACTATCACTATCACGAAAACTTTAAGAGCTTTTAACACAAGCGTATGGTGCAGTGTGGTCACGGCATTTGCCCTGAGATGTGCTTCTCTGCAGCGGGTTCTCTTGAAGGGCGGCGGGAGATTCAAAGCAATGACTTAAGGGCACCCTTGCCAACAGGGAGGGGGCTTATCAACTGGATATGCAAATCTGCAAAAGCGCTCTTCTGTCCTACTACCCGAAGCTTACAGCTGGTCAGGTGGATTCTCCGCAGGTGAGCGAGAACAGAGAAGAGGGCGGATCTTAGTTCTAGGGAGGAGCGGCTAGCGGCAGATCGGCTTTGACAATCAGCTGCCGGGCTGTGGCTCTAGAGGAAAAACCATGCCACGGGATCGCGCAAAGGCCGGCACCTTCTCCAAATCCCTCCTCTGCTGTCGGGTCCGCCCCCCCCCCCCCGGCCCTTGGCGACCCCAACCTTCCCTGGGAGACCCGAGTGTCTCACCCGCTGCCAAGTTCTCACACAGCCTCAGCGGGACCCTCAGAGCGTAAAGCAGCCCCAACCCCGCCACGAGCCACAACGAGGCCCCCGTTCCCGCCAGCCCGGCCCGTAGCCGCTCCTTCCAGCCCAGCCTCGGGCTCACGTCGGGAGGAGATGCCGGAGTCGAGGTCGCGTCGCCGGCTTCACACAAGCCGTGCCCGTCCGCCATCTTGCCGCTGCCTCGGGCGCCGGGAGCTGGGAGGGGAAAAGGGCAGGAAACCGGGAGTCGGGAATCCTGGGATAGTGGCGGACCTCAAGTTGGCCTCCGTGAAGTCTGAGAGTCCTGGGGGAACGGGGCGCCGAGCTCTGGAAGGAGGCAGAGCGCGTCCAAAGTGGGGGTTCCCTAGTTCTGAGGGGAGGGGCGGATGGCAGCACGTATTGAGGGAACTAGACTGAGATGTGACCCTGGAGTGCGTTTTTCTTTTTGCTTTCACCCCCGAGTCCCGGAATTGGAAAACAAACCGACTGTTTCAAGGGCCGAGCAGCTCTTAACGCTTTGGACTCGGCTGCCATGGAGATTACGAATACCAGGAAAACTTAATAGTCGAGTAGTAATCGCTGTTTGGTCGGATGGAGCCCAGGCGGCAGGAACAATCCAAACACTGCCAGCATTCAATAGCTGAACGGGGAAGTGAATATAATTCAGTGGGGGTGGAGGGAAAGAAAAAAAAAAGATACTAGACTTCAAATCCCTGAAGGCAGAAGCGACTTCCTGGGGCGCTGGCCGCAGGAGCCCTCACGCCCGCGCCTGACTGACATGGCGCCGGGCCGGTCGGGGTTTCCGGGCGGGTCCTTGCGACGGCCCCTGCGGTGATTCCATCACTCGGCTTTCTTCCCGGCCTGCCTCGCGCCCGCCGCCGGGCTGGGCCAGAGCAGCCCAAGATGGCCGACTTCGAGGATCGGGTGTCGGATGAGGAGAAGGTAAGGGGTCCCGCCTCTCCCTCACCTCCTCCCCCCCGACAGGGAACAGGGGTCCGACTCGGCTGCGGTGGGAAGCTTGGCAATGTCCCCAAGAAAAAAAAAAAAAAGAAAGTTCTTGGCCCCTGATGGCATCCGCTCTCCGCAGCCGGAACGCTGCTCTCTTAAGGCGCCTTCCTCTGCCTCACGGTGGCCCCAGTTCCCCATTACTCAACTCTTCTTTTCCTCCGGGTCTGAGGCGCAGCCCCTCGGCCTTCCCACCAGGGACGACACTTTCTCCCTTTAGTCTCTCGTGACCGTGGGCTCTTTGTGGTCCTTAGGAGAGGGGCCGGTGGTGATGTCGCAAAGCAGGGAAAAGCGATTTTTGACCTTCTTTAGCAGTTGGGCTCGTCCCATCCCCCCAACCCCCCATTTTTAAATATGATTGGGGCTAGTTTAGGGCGAGTCACTTCCTGGTCAGGGTGGCCTCTTAACTTCCCTTTTGCTCCTCCTTCGTCAGGAAGTGATTTCTGCTGTCCCGAGTCCTTAACGAGGAGAAGTCCCCAAAGGTTGTCCAGCTCCCCCGGGGGTGCCCACCTCACTGCACGTCCGCAGCTTTTCTCACTTACTACCGGTGAACTCACTCACTCACTTGTAAGCTTCGGGACAGTGGCTTCAACATTTGAACTCCACTGCTCCCCGCTGACCAACCCCGTGATGGATTGTAGGGTACCTGTCACCGCCGCGTTGGCTCCATCCATCCGTTGATCTGAACACCCTGACGATTATTTTGATTGTTTTAGCTTTTTTGTGAACAAAAAAGCCGTTTTTTTTTTTAATTCAATAAGGGTCTTTTATACAGTATGAACATGTTAACACACTTAAGTCTGGACAAGCCACCCTGCCAGATTTGATGCTCCATTGTGATGCTTAAGATTGCAGGTGGATGTGGCAGCCTACAATTTGCAGATTCCTTTTAAAGTGTCTTAAATAAGTTCATGCTCCACTTTTTCTTTTTTAATGACAACTGTGCACTTTCCTTAACAATGTCACGCTTTCACTACATCATTTTAGAGCTTGTGAACACTAGAACGGCTTTACTACGCAGAGTAAGAATTAGCACTTGTGTCTCCTATAGTGGCTGTTAACGGAAGTGTGTACCTTTGAGTGTGCTGTGAATTTGAGTGCTTGCTTGCTGGCTTTTAAGATTGGGGTGGAAGAAGGGACTGTGTTTGTGACTCAGGATGCTTCTGGACAGAATAATTTTGACATGTCCTACCTGTTTATGGAATGCCATTTTGAAATGCTTGAGAATGTACTCAACACCAGCCATTGAAGAGCACTTTAGTGTTTGGTTGTCTTGCTTGGATGTTGATTCGTGTGTGTGTGTGTGTGTGTGTGTGTGTGTGTAGCATGTAGGAGGGAAAATCCTCCTCTAAAAACTTACACTAGGAAAACAACCGAAATGTTATTTTAAGGCAAATAGTTGTGATTCAGATAAAATTACACTGAAAATCCTGGGATAAAATTTTTATTAACTGATGGTCTGCTTAGTTTAAGCAAAAATATTGTTACAGCAAATTTTTATTAAAAACCTTAGTTAATAAACTTTTAAAGGTTACTGTGCCAATGTGAAAGGCATTTGCTGGTGCTGTCAGATTGTTTTTGTCTTTCTCAGTAGGATTGAATGCCTTACAAATTAAATTTGGGAAAATATCTGTTTATTTTGAAGTACAGATTAGATGTTTTTGGACACTGTCAGGATCTTTCACTGATGGTCTTGATTTTGTACCAGCAGATTTGTGACTATTTCCTCTTATCTGCAGGCATATTGTTTAGTCTTAATTATAACATAACGAGCAAATGATAATTAGTGAAGTGAATCTTCCCCAAACTGTTGAATTTCATGTTGGGTAAAGAGTTCTCATCAACCACATTGTCTTTTTTAGGGTGAATGGCTAAGTAGAGCTAATGGGATGAAAAGCTCATTGAATAAATCCACTTGATTTGCAGTTGAAATTTCGTTAGGTTTCATAGTGGAGGTTAGAAATCTGTCTATTCTTATCTATTGTGAATCTATGTGTAAAATCAGAGGGCCTTGATCCTAAGGCTATTTCAGTTCCTCCTCAGCTTCATATCGGCCCTGCTCACGCCTTCCCTAGTTTTCTGATTTCTTTTAAATGAATGAATGCAAGACTTGAGAAGGTATTTTTTCCAAAATGAATTGATCCTTTGGCTGTCTCCGCATTCTTGAACCGTAACCCTTCACAAGGTTTTTGTCTTTAAGACTTTCACAACTACTAAAAACACATTTTGAGCCTTTCTTTATATCTGATTTTTCCTTGAAGGAAATTTAAATTTTGCTTTTTTTTTCTCCTTTTAAGTTTAAGCTGCAACTGCGTTTTTTCTGGGGTATTGATGTCATTGTGTCAGACATTTTAACATTGCTCTTTATCTTTCTTGCTTTCTTCAGAAAGCAGTAAGCTTTGGGGTGAATTGAATGATAATAATTTCTGATTCTCTTGCAAGTATTTGAATAGAAACTAGTAAAATCATCCCTTCTCAAGACTAACTGCTGAAGTTTTTATCACTTTATGAAGAGGAAGTTGGTTTTTTTTTTTTAAACTTCTGCGTTGTTACCTGAAATGGTCATGAAGAGCTGTCTAAATAAAACAGGAAGTTGAAAGTGTAATAACATCGGAAATGAATGCTTTCAGTCATATCCTTGAGTTTGCAGTTTCTAGGAACCTGCTCTAATCTAGTTACTTGGACTCTCCAGTTACTTCGTTGTAAATTCCTACAAGATCAGGATGCCATAACTGACAGCACTGACATGTGAGCTGGTTGTTCGGGTTCTTAACATTGTCTATTTCTTTTATTTCATGGTTCCGCATTTAAAAAATATAAATGGAAGCACATGTTAGTGCTAAAGAAAAAGGTAACTAGCTGTTTTTCCCATCAGCCTAACTAGTATAAGTTTAGTATGGAACTTCAAAAATGCTGTAAGTGAGAAATGGTTCTCTGTATACTTTCAGTCTAGCCGATGATAGTGGTTTCAGAGCTGGTGTTTTTTTTTTTTTTACAAGTTTATCAAAATTACTTAATGAAGATAGAGAAAATGTTATAAATAACTCAGAGGCATAAATATGAGGGTTTTATATAGAGCTCATGAAAACTACATAAATATAAAATTCTTGTAGAGGAGGTAAATCCCAAAGTTTATTTACCTTGGCTACAGATTGATGATTAGCATTAATACTGTCATTCTTTGCCATCTCTCCCTTTCATTTTCTTTGCTGAATAATGTTCATGTAATCTGTTTGATAAACAAATTCAGATCAATCTTTTGTTAAGAATGTAAGATCATTGGAGTGGACACTGGCAAAAGGAGCTAAGGTACAGATTGGGACCACTCCCCATCCCCCGATCCCATACCTGAGTGCCAGCTGGAGCCCAGCAGCTCCACATCCCATCCAGCTTCTGATTATGCAGGTGATGATTCTAAATGCTTGGACCCACATGGGATGCTAGATTGAGTTCTGGGCTTTTACTTAGACCCTGTGTTGTGGTTTCCTGCTGTGGGTATTTCGGCAATAAACCTGTAGTTGAAAGTTCAGTCTGTCTCTTGTTCTATCTCCCTACCTTTCAAGTAGATGAAATTAAGGCAACATTTTTAAGAAGAGTATAGGCTTGGGCTTGCTGCTGTAGCCTATTGGCTAAAGTCCTTACCTTGCATGCACTGGGGTCCCATATGGGGACTGGTTCATATTCCAGCCACTCCACTTCCCTTCCAGCTCCCTGCCTGTGGCCTGGGAAAGCAGAGGAGGATGGCCCAAAGCCTTAGAACTCTGCACCTGCCTGGGAGACCCAGAAGCTCCTGGCTTTGGATTGGCTCAGCTCCTGCAATTGCAGCCATTTGGGGAGTGAAGTAGCAGACAGAAGATGTTTCTGTCTTTCCTTTTCTTTTTCAAGAAAAATAAATAAATCTTAAAAAAAGAAAAAACAGAAAAAAGAAAATCCATAGCCTAGGTTTGTCTTCTGAAGCAATTGTTTTTTAATTACACTGGATTTTTTTCTCATGTAATAAATGAATACTCAGTATGCATGCATCCATTTAATTAATCATAAATGAATTGTCCTGGAAAAGAGTGATCTTGAATGCTGGAGGATTAGGATCTCCCTGATACTTTTGTAGCCATGGGTGATTTTGGAAAAATCATTTGTGAATGGACTTCGGTTTCCTTCTAGAAACAGAGGAAGAGGGATTGGATCAAACCAACTGAACAAAGTTTAATGAATTTATCAAAGTAATGGAAACATGTGTTTAAAAACTGAAACGTTGGTTTGAGAAAAAAACACTGAAACATTGGAGCCAGGCACAATAGCCTAACAACTAAAGTCCCTCACCTTGCACACCCCGGGATCCCATATGGGTGCTGGTTCTAATCCTGGCAGCCCTGCTTCCCATCCAGCTCCCTGCTTGTGGCCTGGGAAGGCAGTTGAGGACAGCCCAAAACCTTGGGACCCTGCACCCACATGGGAGACCTGGAAGAGGCTCCTGGCTCTGGATCAACACAGGTCCAGCTATTGGTGGATCCTTGGGGAGTGAATCATCAGACTGAAAATCTTCCTCTCTGTCTTTCCTTTTCTATGTGTATCTGACTTTGCAATGAAAATAAATAAATCTTATAAAAAATAAATCTTATTTTGAAAACCTGAAACATTGGTTTGAGAAAAAGAAAACCACTGAAACACTGGCCCAAAATTGTGGTGTAGTGGGCCAAGTCACTGCCTCTGATGCCAACATCCCATATGGACTACCAATTTCTGTCCCAGCTATTCCAGTTCTCATCCAAT